TAAAGACTTTAAGTAATAATAATATTATCTACTATAAAATCTAAAGAAATAATATTAATAATATTAAAGTTTATTAATTAATTCTATAAGCTCTAAATAGTAATAGTATTCTCTATTATAGAAATAATACTAATAATACTAAAAGAGTTTAATTAGCTAGCTATAGTAGTATTAAAATTTACCCTATAGACTATAAAGTAGATCAGGTTACCCTATATTAGTTAATTAAATAATCTCAGATTAGTATAGGGTAAGGAGAAATAAAATAACTAACTTAGAGCTTTCTAAAGCTAGAAGCCTACTAAAACTACTAATTTAACCTATTATAATTACCTATTAGGATAATTATATTAGTAGTTATAACTATTATAATAGCTATTATAATAACTATATTAATAATCTTATATTATACTATAGTAGCTATATTAATAGTTCTTATATCTACTATAGTAGCTATATTAATAGTTCTTATATTTACTATAGTACTTATATTAATAGATCTTATATCTACTATATAAAAACCTTAGTACTTAATTAGTAAACCTTATAACTATTATAATAGCTATATTAATAGACTTTATATTTACTATAGTACTTATATTAGTAGTTCTTATATTTACTATATAAGAATCTTATAATAGTTATAAACCTATATTATAAAAGATAATATATTATCTTTAGAGCTCTTAGAGCTTTAAAATACTTATAAATATAGAGCTTTCTCTCTACTAGATAGAGATTCTTTAAACTACTAATTTATTTTTTTATTTACTCTATAGTTTATTTTCTTAGCTATTCTATAGCTAATAAAATCTCTTTTTCTTACTAAGTAAACTACTTTTTCTACTATATCTTTTAAAATAATTTCTTTAATATTCCTTAGCTTATCCTATAAACTATATTTACTCTAGATCTAGCTTACCCTATAATTAGTTTATTCTATACTAGAGATCTTAATCTTTTAAAAGATTATAAATCTAGTTCTTACTTATTTTAATAAAAAAAAGTTTTATCTTTAGATTTAAAAGCTCTTATCTTATATTAGAAAAATCTTCTAATTTACCCTATATTTTAATCTAGATTTTAATAGCTTTTTTTACTAAAGAAGATTTAAAATAACTAATAAAGATAGCTATATAGAGGAATTAGCTTCTAAAGATATTAAAATCTACTCTTCTTTAGTAGTTATTCTAATAGCTAGTACTATTACTATAGCTAGCTAATTAAACCCTTTTAGTATTATTAATATTATTTCTATAGTAAAGAGTATTACTATTACTTAGAGCTTATAGAATTAATTAATAAACTTTAATACTACTAGTATTATTTCTTTAGATCTTATAATAGATAATACTATTATTACTTAGAGTTTTTAGAATCTAAATACTACTAAAGCTATTATTACTATATAGTAAACCCTTTAGTAGCTTATAACTATTATAAATCTACTATAATTATAATAGATCTCTAGTATTACTAGTATTAGCTAACTAGCTTTTAGTACTATTAGTACTATTTAATAACTTATTTTATAGAACTCTTAGAGCTTTAATCTTTTAATTAGAATTTTTAAAAACTCTATTATTAAGAATTTTAATAAAAAGATCTATAAGTTCTTTAAAGCTTTTAAATTATAAAAACTTTATAACTTTAATTAGTAGAAATAGATTTTAAAGATCTAATTTAAAGCTTTTAGATTATTATTATTTATAGTAAACCCTATTATAGTTTAATAGCTATTAGATCTAGATTAGATTATCTTACTTATACTACTAAAAGATAGTTATATAAAGAGTTTATAAGCTATTATAATTTAGTAGATCTTCTCTATAAAGATCTATAAGTTACTAGTTAAATAGTTCTCTTATAGTACTAAAATTTAGTATAACTATTTATATATCTAATTTTATAAGCTTTATTATAAAGACTTTAAAGACTTATTAGAAGCTTTTAATAGTATATTTAATAACCTTCTAGCTAAACTATTACTAGCTAAGATTACTATAGTCTCTATAGATCAGGTTAATTAGTATCTAGAAGCTCTAAAAAAAGTCTTTCTATAATAAGCTAAATACTAATAGAATAATATTAGAATTATTAAAGCCTCTAGAGATTTCTTAAAGCTTCTAAACTTATAGTTTCTTATAATAGACCTTCTAGAGGAATAGTATAATAAGAGCTCTTTAATAATTAAAACTATAAATTATAAGGCTAAATATACTAAAAAGTCTATTAAAAAGAAGTTATTAAGCTCTAAAAAGATCTCTAAGGAAAAGATCTAATAGAAAGAATCTAAATCTAAAGCCTTTAAAAAAAAACTAACTAAATTTACTAGTTTTACTCTAGACTATAGTCTAGAAGATCTTTAAAGTTTATTAGAAGATAGTAATAAAAAAAACCTCTAGTTAGTCTTTTAGATCTATTAGCTTTTTAAATCTATTAAAATTATAATAGCTCCTATTATTATTAGCTTTAGTAATTAGAGATATAATCTACTAAATATCTTTCTATATAATATAGGCTTTATAGTATACTTAGTAAATAATAGAGCTTATTATAGAAATTATAAAACTCTAAAGTATTCTAAGATAGATTATATTTTAATAGCTATTAGTAAGACTTACTCTATAGATATTAGAACTATTATATTTTAAGTTTTAATCTTTTAGAACTTCTTAATTTATAGAAATTTAAAGTTAAAAAAAGCTTTTTTTCTATTTATTCTAGAGATTAATATAGTTAGTAGAATAAAATATTATAGTTTAGAGAGTACTCTTTTAAGATAATAGCTATTTATAGATAATAGAATCTACTATAGTTTATTAAACTTTAAAAAATATAGCTTTTATCTATAGTTAAAAAAGTAAAAAATCCTTAAGTTTATAATATCTAAGGAGCTCTCTGCTTATATAAGCTATAGCTACTCTATAGAGATTTAAATTTCCTCTAAGATCTCTAGCTAGATCTCTAAGGTTCTAGACTTTATAGGGCCTAATAAGCTTACTAAGCTTACTAAATAGCCTACTAAGATATCTACTAAGGTTCTAATATAAAAGTCTTTAGAAAGGGATTATTCTAGCTTTAATACTAAAGAAGCTCTAATATAAGAAACTATTAGTATTATTAGATTTCTACTATAAATATCTAAGATTTATAAAGATCTATTATAATTAGTAGATATTTAGTATATATAGCTAGAGTATTTAGAGCTTTAATTACTAAAGAAAACTATTAAAATTATAAAAGATCTCTTTAATTTTAGCTCTATAAAAGAGAAAGATTTCTACTATTTAGTTTATATTAATACTAAAAGCTATAGATTTCTAGTATATATAGTTATTCCTAATCTATCTAGAGCTCTAAACTCTATAGAAGGAAATACTTTCTATCTTAAGCTTATACTATATAATAAAAGGCCTATAGAGCTTATTTTAATAGATTAAAAAACCTACTATAGGTAGATTATTCTTCTTCCTAATAAGAAAGAATCTACTATAGTAATTACTATAAAAGGCTTCTATTAAAGTCTTTATAACTATTATAATTATTATTCTATTAAATTTTACTATAATAATAAGGAAATTATAAGGGATTTAATAGATTAGCTAGCTACTAAAGATACTATCTTTAGTATTTTAAACCTCTATATTTACTAATAAAATAAATTAGCTAAATACTCTATAAAAGTACTAATAGATAGATTTAGAACTATTTTATAATAATCTAAGTTTCTATTATATCTCTAGTATTATATCCTTCTAGAGATTCTTTAGTTAGTTAATTATACTACTATTAGTAATTATAATTTATCTTTTTAATAGTTATTTCTTTAAGAATTAGAGTTTAAAACTCCTTTTAAATCTAACTTCTAGATTTATAAAGCTATTAGAGCTTACTATAAAGTCTTTATTTATTCTGAATAGTAGTCTAAGAGCTATAAATTAGCTCTTAAAATAATCTTAGAGTAGATTTTAATATTCTTAGATTCTAAAATCTATTAGATTTATATTCTTAAGAAGAAATTAGTTATTAAAATCTCTTATTTAAGGATTTTAAAGAATATAGGCTTTATAAAATAAAACTTATAGCTATAAAACCCCTTTCTCTTATACTCTTTAGAAGAAGAAATAGAGAAAATAAAGTATATAAAAAAGATTTAAAAGCTATTATAATAGCTATTATAAGAATACTCTAATCTACTAGTTATAATACTTAAACTACTAGCTATAGAGCCTTAAGAGCTTAAAATACTATTAGCTATAATATTTACTTTAAAACCCTAAGAGCTTAAAGTTCTTAAAACTATAGAGTCTTTAGAGCTTAAAGCTCTACTAGCTATAATATATTAATCTAGTAAGTCTAGATCTAACTTAGAGCTTATAGATAATCTAATAGATCTATCTAACTAGATATAGACTATTACTATAGTATACTAAATAAGTATTATAATATATACTAAAGCTAGGCTTTTACTAGAGCTTAATAATTAAAAAGAGATATTAAAACTACTATTAAAAGAGAAAGAACTTTAGCTAAAAATTATCTTTAGTAAACTTAAATAGTTAATATATATTAGAATCTTCTTCTTTATAGTATTAAAAGATCTATTTAAGAGCTATAGAGCTCTAAGCTATAGATATATATTAAAGCTAAAGTTTAATCTCTATAATAAACTATTAAAATATAAAGCTAAGCTTATTATTAGAGAGTTCTTATAGGTAGAAAGCCTAGATTATAATAAGACTTTTACTTCTATAGCTATTTCTCTAATCTAAAAGTTATTATTAGCTCTAGTAGCTATATATAATTATAATATTAAGTAAATTAACTTTATAAATATCTTTTTAAATAGTAAACTTACTAAAAGACTCTATATAAAGCTCTCTAAAGATCTAAAGGAGCTATTAAAGAAAAGCTCTAAATTACTTATTATAACTAAATTTTAGAACTATAATCCTTCTAAAGATTAGATTATCTTACTACTAAAAGCTCTATATAGTCTAAAGTAGTTCTCTAGAGAATAATAAGAAGTTCTAAAAGCTCTATTAAAATCCTTAAGCTTTAGTTTTTTAATCTTAGATCTAATAGTTTTCTATAATACTAAAAAAACTATTTTTATAGTAATCTATATAGATAATTATCTTATAATAAGCTTTAAAATTAGTTATATTAATAAGCTAAAGAAGGAAATTTATAAGGTTTACTCTATAGAAGATAAAGAATAAATAATTTTCTTTTTAGGAATTTAAATTTATTAAAATAGGTTTAAAAAAGCTCTATATCTCTCTTAATCTTAGTATATTAAATAGATACTATAGGCTTTTAAGATTACTAAAGAAAAGTCTCTATTAATACTCTTATAGTTTAATCTTATAAGATTTATAATAGAAGCTATAGAGACTATAGATCTCTATAATTCTCTAAAATATAGATTATTTTAGTAGATTATAAGGATTTTAATATATCTAATATTTTAAACTAGATTTAATATAATCTTTTTAGTTTAGTAGTTAGTTTAAACTATATATAGGCTCTATAAAATCTATCTAAAGATTATTAAAAAACTATTTTAATATTTAAAAAGTATTAAAAATCTTATTATAATCTACTTACTAAATAAACCTCTAGAAAGCTATTATAATAGTAATTTTATAGAGAATAAAACTACTAGTAAATCTATCTATAGGTATTTCTTTAAGCTAGCTAGGGGTTCTATTAGTTAGAAAGCTAAGAAAATAACTATTATAGCTCTATCTACTATAGAGGCTAAAGTAGATAGTTTTATAAAAGCTCTTAGAGAGTTATAATAGCTAAAAGAGCTCTATAAGAAACTAAACTAACTTCTGAAAATCCCTATAACTATCTACTATAATAACTAGAGCTATATAGCTATAAGTAATAACCCTACTCTATATACTAGAACTAAGTATATACTATTAAAATTCTACTATAATAGGGTTTAAATTATAAAGAGTTTAGTAAGCTTTAGCTATTTAGAAACTAAGATTATATCTACTAATAGACTAACTAAACTATTAACTATATCTCTTTAGTAGATCTTTAGAGATCTACTAGATCTAAAGAAGTACTATAAAGATCTAATTTAATTATTTTCTTTAGAAGAGATATTAAGATTTACCCTATAGATTATAGAGTAAATTAGATTATTTTATATTAATTAATTAAATAATTTTAGATTAATATAAAGTAAAGAGAAATAAAATAATTAATTTAGAGCTTTCTAAAGTTAGAAACTTATTAAAACTATTAATCTAATCTATTATAACTATCTATTAGAGTAATTATATTAGTAATTATAATTATTATAATAGTTATTATAGTAATTATATTAATAATCTTATATTATATTATAGTAGCTATATTAGTAGTTCTTATATTTACTATAGTAACTATATTAATAGTTCTTATATTTACTATAGTATTTATATTAGTAGATCTTATATTTATTATATAAGAATTTTAATATTTAGTTAGTAAACCTTATAATTATTATAGTAACTATATTAATAAACTTTATATTTATTATAATACTTATATTAATAGTTCTTATATCTACTATATAAGAATCTTATAATAGTTATAAATCTATATTATAGAAAGTAATATATTATCTTTAGAGCTCTTAGAGCTTTAAAATATCTATAAATATAGAGCTTTCTCTTTATTAAATAGAGATTCTTTAAGCTATTAATTTACTTTTTTATCTACTCTATAGTCTATCTTCTTAGCTACTCTATAGCTAATAAAGTCTCTCTTTCTTACTAAGTAAACTACTTTTTCTATTATATCTTTTAAAATAATTCCTTTAGTATTTCTTAGCTTACCCTATAGATTATACTTATTTTAGATCTAGCTTATTCTATAGCTAGTCTACTCTATACTAAAGGCTTTAATCTTTTAAAAAGTAATAGTACTAATTATTAGAATAACTATTAAAGAAGAGTAGGTTTTAATATCTTTAAAAGCTAATTCCTCTATATAGCTATCTTTATTAGTTATTTTAGATCTTCTTTAGTAAAGAAAGCTATTAAGATCTAGGCTAAGATATAGAGTAAGTTAGAAGATTTTCCTAATATAGAGTAAGAGCTTTTAAATCTAAAGATAAAGCTCTTTCTTATTAAAGTAGATAAAATCCAGATTTATAATCTTTTAAAAGATTAAGATCTTTAATATAGAGTAAACTAATTATAGAATAAGCTAGATTTAGAATAGATATAGTTTATAGGGTAAACTAAGAAATTCTAAAGAAATTATTTTAAAAGATATAGTAGAAGAAATAGTTTACTTAGTAAGAAAGAGAGATTTTATTAGCTATAAAATAGCTAAGAAAATAGACTATAGAATAAATAAAAAAGTAAATTAATAGTTTAAAGAATCTCTATCTAGTAGAGAGAAAGTTCTATACTTATAGATATTTTAAAGCTCTAAGAGCTCTAAAGATAATATATTATCTTCTATAATATAAGCTTATAATTATTATAAGATTTTTATATAGTAGATATAAGATCTACTAATATAAATACTATAATAAATATAAAGTCTACTAATATAATTATTATAGTAATTATAAGATTTACTAATTAAATACTAAAGTTCTTATATAATAAATATAAGATCTACTAATATAAGTACTATAGTAAATATAAGAACTACTAATATAGCTATTATAGTATAATATAAGATTACTAATATAGTTACTATAGTAGCTATTATAGTAGTTATAACTATTAATATAATTATTCTAATAGATAGCTATAGTAGGTTAGGCTAATAGCTTTAATAGGCTTCTAGCTTTAGAAAGCTCTAAGTTAGTTATTTTATTTCTTCTTACTCTATATTAATCTAAGATTATTTAATTAACTAATATAGAATAACCTGATCTACCCTATAGTTTATAGAGTAAATCTTAATAAAGCTAATATCTAATTCTCTCTATTACTCTATTTCTTTTATAATAAAATAATTAAATATATTTATAGCTATATAATATTATATAAATATATATTTAGTTAGCTACTAGATTAAACTATACTATTATTATAAGACTATTATATTAAATATAATATCTCTATTTATCTAATATTATTATAATTATTAAGAAACTATTATATAGTATTATTAAGATTAAAATATATTAGTAGAATATCTATTTTTTTTTAAGGTTTTTACTATATATAAAAGATATTCTAAGATCAGGTTATATATAACTAGATCTATATAATTTATTTTTAATTAAGTTTTAATCTATATCTAATCTTTAATTTTATTTTTTTTTATTTTTTTATTTATATAAGCTAAGATAAGATAATAGCTTCTTTAAAAACTCTAAGAAAAGCTTATTAAGTATATAATTTAATTATAAGCTCTAAAAGAAAATACTTATTATCTATAATTAACTATAATATCTCTCTATACTTATTATTATTAATTACTAGTAATTAGATCTCTTTTTATAATTATAATAATAAATATCTCTAATATTATTATTCCCTATAGCTAGAGCCTAATTATTATAAATAACTAGATTATTATATATATAATAGTTATTATTAATAATAACTATTAAAATCTCTTTTTAGATATTAATTATTTAAGTTTATAATCTATTATAGATTTACTTATAATAATAAAGCTACTCTCTCTTATATAGATCTAATAGTTATATCTATTAGAGCTATTACTATATCTAGTAACTAGTTAATAAGAAGATATATAGATTCTAATTTTCTATATACTTATAAAGAATTATATAAATATTCCTCTAGTATTTAATAATTATTATAATCTAATATATTATATATAGTACTAGTAGATAATATACTAGTTTAAGTTAATTTAGATTAAAATAGCTCTTTAAATTAAATAAAAAGTTTATTTTAATTAGTATTAAGTAGGCTTTATAGAAAATAAAATTAAATTAAATTATTAAAAAGTTTATTAGATAGAAAAATTAAATTAAATAAGATTAATAAGATAGTATTTAGAATATAGTAGATTAATTAATCTAATACTATTATAGATTATTTAAAGAAAATTATAATAGCTAATTATAAAGTTACTATATATTAATAAAGACTAAATATAGTTTATATAGTAGTAGAATATCTATAATAAATATTATAAAAAGAATCTCTAGATATAATTATTAATCTATAATCTATATTTATTAATTATAATATCTAAAAATAATATATTTAATATTATTAGAATATAAACTAATAATACTATTAGTTTATTAGATAATATCTTTAACTAATAGGAAAAAGAATAATTAATTAATATTTAATTTACTACTAAACTAAAGTAATATCTAATAAATAATAATCTAATTATCTTTAATAATAGAACTATCTATCTTAATATAATTAATAGTATTATCTAGTTATAGTAAAAGAAATAAGATAAGAAACTATAATTAATTAATATTAATAATCTAAATATTAGATAATAGTTATTATATAGTATAACTAAGTATATATAAATAGATATTAGATTAATATTAAATTTATATTATTTCTAATAAAAATTTCCTATAGTAGTAAATATATACTATATATATAGAAATAAATTAATTTATAATCTTAAAAATAACTAATTTTTTTATTTCTAAATATATATAATTCTAGATTAAATTAAAATAAACTCTAATATACTAATACTAAACCTAATCTAATCTAACTAATATTCTAATCTAAACTATTCTAAAATATAAAAAGCTTAATTAATAAATTAATTCTTAAAAGTTATTTCTATTCTTATTAATTTAATATAGTATATAATATACTAAAACTATAAGTTATATATTAGACTATAGTAGGCCTATATAAGAGAATAGCTATTCTTAAGATATAGTATTTACTTAAGCTAATCTTAATTCTCTATAAGTACTTATAGTAGCTATAGATACTATAAGTAGCAGGCTATATAATAAAATAATAAACTAAGTAGATATAGTTACTAGATTTATATTATTAAAAGTAGCTTTATTATTATAAATAGACTTTTAACTAATTAGAAAGATATATTATAAATATAATTAGTAAATAGCTATATTAGATTATCTTAGATAATAGTTATTATTACTTTAAGAATCTTATTAGAAGTATTAACTAAGTCTTAAGAGATTAGAATATTTATATTAGATATTATAGCTATTTAAATTATCTAGTAATTAATTAATTAAATAATTAATTAATTAAGTAATTAATTAATAGTATAATTTAATTAATTAATTAATTAAGATAAGCTTTAAAGTTCTAATAGAAATAAAAGATAGTTATTATTATTAGATAATAAGTTTTCCCTCTTAGGAATTATAGCTATAACTAGGCTATTTATATATCTAGCTATATAAATAGCTTCTATTATTAGAGTTTTTAAGATATTAATATCTATATTTAGACTAAAAGTATTTAATTTTAATTTTATTTTATAGTATTAAAGGTTTAGATATAAACTACTAATTATATTCTTTAAAAAATTATATAATCTAGTTATATATTATCTAATCTTAGAATATATCTTTATTTATAGTAAAACTAATAAAAAAAATTAGATAATAATATATTAAATAATAAATCTATAGTATATATATTATATCTATCTACTAACTAGAAATATACTTTAACTTATTAATTACTATTTAGTATTAAAACTCTAAGAAGAGTTAATATAAATTACTTAACTATAGAATTAAATAGTAAATAGATAATCTAGATTATAATTTAAACTTTATTCTATTTAATCTAGAAATAGTTAAATTATTTATCTTTATTAATAGATTATTTATAAATAATACTAATCTAATCTCCTAATTTAGATTTATTATTATTCTAACTAATAAATATAATACTAATAATAAATTATTTTTCTATTTAACTAGAAATATTATATATTTCAGTTTAATAAAATATAAATAAGTTATCTAAAGTATATTAGTATTAGAGGTTTATAATATAGTTATAGAAGTTAATATTATATATATAATATTAATAATCTTTTAATAAATAATTAATAAACTCTTTCTTCTATTAATTCTAATAGTTATCTATACTAACTTATACTTACTATATAAGTATTTAATTAAGCTTAATATAACTAAAGAGAAATATCTAATAATTAATATTATAATATTAAAATAATTATATAAGTAATAGAAGCTAATAGAAATCTATTAGATTAATAGATAAAATAATCTAGCTAATTATTTTACTAAATCTAAATCTAATCTATTATTATTATATTTTATTAATAATAATAAAATAATTATATAGATAAATATATCTAATAAAATATTATATTATTATTTTAAAATAGATTTAATAAATTTATAAATATTTAATTTTATAACTTATTAACTTTATAAATTTATAAATTTATAATTATTTATAAATAGCTATTAGATTAATATTTCCTTCTATTAGAAGGAAAAAGAAAAGTTATCTATATTAATATAACTTATCAGGTTATTAACTTATTAATAACCTATAAACCTACTTATATAAACCTTCCGTTCGACTATATAATAGTTAGCTTTTTCTCTCAGATATTAATCAATCGTTTGCTTTAATTTGCTTGCTTTACTACATTATACAGCTGTATCGAATCCCTGTCAACCCACGTATACTTAAGTAGCCATTTCACGACCTTAGAGTAGAATGAGGGTAATGTTACATTTTATTTGGACTGCAGCCGACTATCGAACCTAACTGAGAGACTTTTCTAAAGTCTGCATGGAGAAAGGGCCCAGTGATCGAACTCACACTACCTCTGCTGGGACAGATGCAAGATCTTTCTCGCGCAATCTCTTCTCCTTCTTCCGCTCTTCTTTGAATATCAATCTTTGCCTAATATCATGAGGTATCGATCGAGCAGAAACAAGTCTCACAAGACTCGCCGGCACGCCACTTTGCGTTCCTTCCCTCTGAGCTTTCACCCAATAGAGGCTGTTGTCTAATTTATGGAAGAAGTATGTACGCTCATGACGAAGAGACCAAGCGCCGGTGCTGGCTGGACATAGTACTGCGGTTTTAAGCATATATAATCGATTGTCCCAGTTTGGATTGGGGCCACGACACGTCATGGCCCCAGATTGAAGGCAAGCGTTCGTCATGTATGCAAATGTTGCGCAGTCGTCTGAGTCCGCGAGGATTGGCGCCCAGGTGTTGTATGAAGACAACGGAATATGAAAACACCTATTCACCACCCCATTGTAAGGCCAGGCAACCAAGAACTGTGTACCATCTGGGCTGAATCCCGTATCCGCAAGTGTTCCGAGGATCTGTCTGATGAGGCTCAGAACAAATTTGTACAGATGGTTTGGCAAGTTGCTGAGCCAGTCGGAAAGCTCCTGCGCCGAATTTGATGTTTGGAATGTCTCGATAATATGGTACTGGGATAGAAGTTCTTGCCAGCTCTTCTTTGTCTCCATGCTTGTATAGGTTTTGGAGAAGGCTGGCAGCAGGTCGGCCACCAACTGCCTCAAGGCGACGCGCTGGGCCACTCCAGTACAGTAACTGACCCGAACACCCCAAGAGAAGCTGAGAAACGGTACCAACAAGTAATCCTCTTGTTCCAAGTTTCGGGACTTGATCGTCCTGCCCCGTCTTTTTTACCAGGCCTTATTCCCCGTGAGAGAAAAGTTGTCCGGGCCGCCCTGGAAACCGAACTGATATTCTTTCGCCTCAAAGAAGGAACGATGCGTGCCCAACTCCTCAAACTTGCCAAGAGACGATGTCCAGCAAGCCTGTTCCTCATTCTTGCACGCCGCGTTGACATTAACCAACCCACCAGTTGTAATAGGCTCGTTCAGGGCTATCAGAACTGGGTTCTGTGGCAGCCTCAATCACGTATCCCAGTGGTACTTGGAATCCTCAGCATCTGAAGCTGGTGGGCTGATGAATCCACCACCGAGTTTGATTGCCGCGGGAGAACTTGACTTTCAAGATCGGAAGAGCAGCTCTCCGGGGCCCCATGTATCCAGAATATCACAAGGCGTCGCACGAATATCATATTTAGCATTTAAATCTTGGAAACTAGATGCTTCTTCATCACCTGGAAGACTCTCCCTGAATATAAGTACGGGTACTGGCACATATGTCCCAGACACGTCAGAATAACAAGCTCGGCAACAATATGGTTGCCACGAGAATGATCGTAGTACTGACATCCCTTCAGAACAATCCTTTCTAAAGGCCGGTCAATAAAGAACGGCTGGAGAGGGCCAATATGTGCTTGGATGTATGAAATGAATCCCAAGCATAATACTTGAAGAGCTAGTGAGTGAAGATGCTCACTATTGTACACGGTTATCGCTGGAGGGGCATCCATCACTTTCTGCAGTATTTCGTGTAGGATTTTGCCTATAGCATCTCTATAAAGATGATGCCGCTCCTTGCCACGTTCAACAGCTGTTTTCATATTTTGAAGGAACCTTCTTGCCAAAGAAAACTCGATTCGAGATAGCCGGGCTTCAGTTGTCGTCAACGCTTTTGACGAGGCGCCAAACCTCAAAACTGTGAACGAATCACAGCAGAACTCAGCGTCTTGCATCATGAGAGCGGACGTTTCGAAACGCTCGACGATTTGGATGAGTCGGGGAAAGAGACCCTTGGTATATTGAATAACTTTATTGTCTACATCCCAACTGGAGTAGTGTATCGTGGCCATGGACCTGGCCTCGTTGAATTGAACCGCCCCGTTCCATTCTGTCTTGTTGCGCGGCGAGGGTGATATGCCACCTAATCCACACAACTCCTCAACTGCCTGCCTCACTTGTCTGTCTTTATCAAGCGGTGGAGAGGAGAGTGAGACGCGATTCTTCCTAGCTGATTCTGACTTGAGACTATGCGCGCATTCGAGCAAGTGATGTTCAGGTCGCGATTCTGAAAATGGGATGCTTTCCGGTTTGAAATAAATCCAGGGTGAGTCGTGAGCTTTTTCATGGAGAAGCTGGGCAATGTCGGTGTTGCTGTATCCAATCTCTTTGAGCTCCCTTATCCAGATATAGTCACCACTGGCTGCTTGCCTGAATTGAGTGTCTAGTAATATGGCGATGTACAACGGGTCATTGTAAGCAATTGCTTCCGAAATAGTTTGTGGAAGTGATCGAAGGTTCGTGATGGATTGCAGTTCGGATATCAACTCTTGGAAATGTGGACTTTCTTGAAAGAAGGCCACAACCAGGTTAAGATATTTCAGCGAGCCGTCATTTTCATCCACTTCTTCCTCACTTGTTTCATCCTGGTCTTCTGAGGTTCTATTGGCCCGAGATGCAAGTTTCAGTCTTTCATTCAGTCGCTTTTCTCGGTCAGCGTTGGAGATTGCCGGGGCGTTTTTGCTGAGCACTCGGATGATCAGTTGACTGGCACGGCTCTTTTGCGAACGAGACGACAGCGTTCGAATTGTGAGCAAAATTCCAGGGTCCTTGGTGGAGTCTCTTAGACGCTTGAGATATCTGGATAAGATCCTATTGTGAATCTTTAGGAAATATTCGTCTCCTAATTTGTCGATAGCATTGTGGTATGTCGCACGCATACCACGGCTTAGGAGCATTTCCACTAACTGCTCAGAGACCTCCTTGCGATGTTCAACTGAGCCTACGCTAGAAGCAGATGACAAAGATGTATTCGAGAATAACGAAGATGCAACCGAGGTTGTTGACTCGTTGTCAGAATCGTACGTAGCATCGTGGACTTGGTTCATAGGCACCGGCCATGTTGGAGCATCCTTATCCTCATGAAAGTTCTGTGACCCCTCCTCCTTTCTCGTATGCTTCGGGAATTCCACCGAAGGTGGTGGTTGCGGAATAACTGATAAAATTTCACTTCGGTTTTTGACCCCATACTCTCGTACTGGGCTCTGTGGATGTTCTAGCTTTTTACCCTTGTATAGAAGTGTGATATTCTGGACTTGGCTCTCTGTCAACTCCATTATTATGCCAAGCCTGGCCTTGAGATCTGTGACAACGAGCTTGCCATCCCCGATAGAGTAGGCCGGGAAGTATAATGGGTACGTAATGCCCTTGTGTTTCACCAAGAGAACATCATCTTCTGGTTCTTGAAAATCGGAGGGCGGATTGTCTCGTCGCGATTTTTCGGAAGGTCTCGCCACGACATCTTATAGATCCTGTGAGGTGATGTGTGCGAAATCTTCATCAGTGACGCTGGGAACATTGTCGCTGTAGGGCGAGAGGCCATCGCGAGCGCTACTCCAGCCATATCTAGACATGATGGTGATGATGATTTAATCAAAAATTAGGGTACGCGAAGCGAACTTGATTGATTCGTTCATCCAGTAGGAGATTTCGATTCTGGGTATTCACTGAGGTCTGATACTCGTGAAAAGAACCTGCCTGGCGACTATTATGGCAATTTTGATGATCCTATGGGCTGGCCTGCCGTTTGACGGATGATGGGATTATGCTCAAGTTCCTACAATAGAATGAGGGGTTCGCCAATACCAGCCGCCATCCCTGCACGACGATGGGGATTGTCACGTGAAGTCAGCCGGGCGAATCTCCCACGAGCCAACTGAATCGTGGACAAAAGGTGAAAGTCTAGCCTTGGCCAATTCTTTGATTATGGGACAACTTAACCACCTACCACAGTTTGCTAGCCACCCACCATTTATATCCACATCATGGCTAGGTTAAGGCATAGTAGCTAATATACTAAATAATGCAAGACTATGTTCCTTTAATAGCAGATAGAGAGGTCAGCTCTATAGCGATCGCTTGTCTTAATAGCGGATAGAGAGTTCAGGCCTATAGTGAGGACTTGAATTAAGTGTAGACCCGTAGGTGAATTACTACTTAGTCGGCTATATAATAATCGCTTGTGTTGACGGAAGATAAGGAGGTTAGACTTGTAACGACCGCTTATCTAATAAGTTTATAGCTGGATGAACTCTATATGATCTGACTGCTGTAGCTACTGGTGGTGAGTTCAGGCTTACAGCAATCTCTCGTGATAACATACGACACCTAAGCTAGCTACATATCGAACACATATCTCAGTAGTAGATAGAGAGGTCGGGTCTCTAGGAATCGACTTTTGCAGTAGCTAACTGCTAGACCCGGCTTAGAGTAACTTAGCCCCTTTGACAAGTCCACCACTCCATAAAGACAGCCCTTACCCCAAGTTAACGGCTAAAGTAACATAGTGTCCTCCTGTGCCATTTGCATGACCGTTAGACACGACGTCGCATCACCAGCGACGTGGTTGATTCCGCACTGCGTCAGCTCCTCCAATCTCTGGATCCAGAACCTCCATCTATCGGGACTAAACCCTGTTGAAGAGCTTGGAATACCGGCCTGGACGGCTAGTTCACCAAGGCCTGCCAAGTGCGGGTAATCGGCAGGGTTGACGGTGGACGCGGTAACAGCGACAGCTGCAGAACGCTTACTGCTCAAAATGGTAAGACTGAAGTCGGAGGCAATGACCAGATGATGAAGGGGGTAAATCAGGTCCTCGATGGCCCACAGAGTGTCTGGCGTCGGTTCGCTGCTTTCATCGGCCACCAGTGGTCGAGGGGTCTCCAGCGTTTCGCGGAAGAGTGATAGCGCACAGAGCGCAGATCCATCGTAGAGGCCAACAGACAGGAGCCGTCCAATGAATGCACTCAGGTTCTTGCGCTTATCTATGTCATAAACGGCGTCTTGGTAATAGCGGTAGGTTGAAAATTCCTCTGTCAGATCCCTGGCCAGCAGAGGAAGACCGGACCACAGTTCGGCCCCGTCGGAGAAGCCGGCAAGGCCTTTGTTCGCAATCGTCGGACTGAGAGGTGAACTTGCACGCCGCAGGCGTCCTAGGGCCTTCATAAGCATTATGTGACGAATGAGTGTATCTTGAGCGGGATTCAGAGGCTCGATGCTCTTGGCTGCCTGGATGACAATGTACCACAGGTCATGGAGCCGGTGCTCAATTGTGACCCAGGAGTTTGTCGTGTTTTGTGTGTACTGGGCACTGATGACATGAATAATAGAGCTTAAAGTCATGTCGTAGTTCGAATTAGGGGCACGTTGGACTTGTTCGTCAATTTCCTGCCGGACCTGCCGGGAGAACGAAAGAGAATCATCGACCAGCGATGACATATTATCGCAAATTTCGGTGCAAGGCATGATGAGCTAAATGAAATGAATACGAGGCGACCGAATGGAAAGACAAGGATGAATTACAAAAACAAAGGAAAATGTGTCAATGGAAAAGAATGGTTGGAAACTAGACTGTGTTGGTGGAGGAGTCTATCCTGATAAACTCCTTGGGATATGTGTATTTTGACGGATGCGCTGGATGGAATTTGGAGGAACACTACAAGAAGGGATGAACACTAATATTAGCATTACTCTCATATAAATATCACAGAACACGTAAATGACGCAGATCAATATTGTGGGTTATTGCATCCTCATCTAATAAAGCAGCATGATATGCTTCCACTTCCTTGTGGGATAGGACACTTCAGCATCTGTCATGCGGTCACTTCCCGCGCGCCTCAGGAAAAGACCTATGTGTCGATTTTGGGGGTGAGATTCTCATTATAGCGTCTATGTGCAATATTACAACGTCAAGAAGGCTGTATTATCACTCCAATTCCAACAAATGCAGGCGGCTGAAAATGGAGGAACGGGCCGCCACTGCGACGTGGAGTCAGCAGCAGGAATCCAGGCTCCTTCGGGGGACGGCTGGAGAATCGTACTTAGTGCTTGTGTTACAAAATCTGCATATTCTCAATACGAGCCGAAATCATGCAATAGCAGCTGAGTACTACACGTATTCTAGCTGCCATTGGCTAGCCAAGATAGTATGGATTCAGCCGGCAGATGCAACTCAGCGGATTCAGCTGCCGAGGCGGTCTGATTCTGGCCAATCGCAATTCTCATCCCGTTGTAGGATCCATGATACAGCTGGCCAGTTGCTATAAATATCAGCGGATACAGGTGGATTCATGACTTACTTGCAGCAATCCGTCTATATGCAAGCCTGTATTACGGTACACGAAAATGTGCCGTAAACTATTTCGAGGGGTTGCATTACCAAGTGTGATAGGATGCACCAAACACTAAGATAAGCCATCATTCCATCATTAGTAGAAGCTCTTGGCTGCAGGAGAAAATTGTATCGATGTGAGACAACTCCGAAACAGCTGTAATAAATACGCTTCATGTCGTCTAATGATTCACATCTTATCACCAAACCAGCACCGTCCCAGCAGCACCAGCCAGCACACATCACATACTTTTTTTGCCTCTTTATATTTTTAATCATGAAATTTTCGCTTGTTTTTCTTCTTAGCCTTGTCTCGGGCTCTGTAGCCCTCGAAACAAACATCGATCCCAACGGCCCAATGATATGGGGTGTAAGTCAGGCTTATCTCGCCATGAGGCAATCAGCCAATGCTGAGTCTCAAGATTTCATCACTCAAACGTTTACTGATTGAACTAGCAATGCGTGGTCAAAGAAAGCGAGTGCAGGTTTCAATATTATGTCAGGAATGGCTTCCGAGAGCGGGGTGGCCAAAAGGTCCAGAGATGGGACATCACACGCACTTCACGGAAATGCGGCGCCACAAAGAAGGAAAGGGTAAGTAAATCGGCTAAATACAATGTTCCCACCTTGGATCACTCTCCAATTTTCATTCTAGCATAGATATACGTTCATCCATCTCTAACTTCACAACAATAGTGCCCTAAGGACGGTGCTACATGCTCCATCGCCTACGATCTTACAAAACATGGTCTCAGCAACAGACTGGCCTGTCAACAAAAGGACTCCGGCGTCCTCAAGTTTTATTAAATTTCATCATTTCATTTTCAACACTAGGGTAAAATAGATTTGGGGCAAGCATAGAGGACATGGAAGCGGATTGGGAATTGGGTATTATGGCGTATCTTACGGTGTGTCTCATGACAAAGGCATGGGCTTTGGACGACACGAAGGTCGAGAGTGCTTCTATATTTAGCTGTTTATGGCGTAGCAACATTCAATATGAAATTCTTTGAATTCTACAAGTGCGAGACTAGTCGTGTTCGTAGCTGATCCAAGCTGGAATCATTATCGGAGTCGCCAGCAGGAGCAGCTAAGCAGGGTCATCGGAGTTCGTAGCGGCGATGAGCTTCTTAGTGTAGATGAATGCATACCTTCGGGCTTTTCACGGCAAGCGAGGCTCTGGCTGTTGAAAAGAATATATATCAGTTCAAATGAGCGTCTCAAAATGGCCTATGCCGTGTCCAAACAGCTGTCGCTGAATCCCAAATCATGGATGGGACCACTAGATTGTTGCCTGACGGCATCTATGCCGCCATCATGACTTTCTTCGACTCTAATACGGAGGACATCGACCTTTGGACCCAGAATCAACATACCGCGCGTCTCGCGAAGGCGGGCACCGCGGTCTTCGTTGCCTTCTTGGATGTCCTCGTTCAACACACTTGAAGAAGTTTGGCTCCCATGATCGTTTGGCTACATACGCTCAGAAGGAGCTGCATTGCCAAGCGGCCTCAAACTCTTATGTTCGCTTCGAGGTCTCGCGAAGCTTCATAAATCGACCCACCTTACCCTGTCCTAAGCTCTATTCACAGAATGCTGGACCGAAGCACACCACCTGGGGTTGCGGCACGCAAGTAAGGGCATTCTCACTTTATGGGGAATAGTCCCTACCAGCGTAGAGTTTCTCTCATTGCCGCACGGTGGATGGTCTCGCAATAAGATCCAGGAGGAAGTGATATTCTCCTTGATTGAGTCCTGGACAAAGCAATCGAACCCTTTTATTCTTCGCAGGCGGGCTATTGAGTTTGATTGCCGGACCTTAGGCATGGGAGTACCGAGGTCAGTACCAGAGCTGCAAATCTACAAACGCACTCCCGACTCCATGTTCGATTTAATCACTTCTCACCCTAGGCTTGGAACTCTGGTGACCTCAGGGATAATTCAATTGTGTCCACGTGCAGTCAAATTATAGTTTTCACGTGTCCATAGCGGGGGAGTGCAAGTAAACTTTGATTGAAACAAAGTTAGCAAGTGTGCCATGGTATGTTTGCCACCTCATTCTCATCTAGAACCCTTCCCTTCAGATTGAATTCTTGTTCCATGACGTATCACTTCGTAGTCGCTCCATTTACCTGCTGCCCTTCGTACGACAACATGGGTTCGTGGGTCTCGAAAGCCTCTGTTACCAACCCATCTGACACGGACGGACTTCAACTTGTCATTTTCACAACAGTGAAAGTATACTATATACGTGCTGGTAATAGCGTGATTGCATCAATTCAACATGTCAATTGCCTCATAATCCTCCAAGATATACTCCATGGCTTCTGCTACCCCCAACTCGGCCCAAAATTGAGATTTCAACTCATACTGTACACAATTGTAAATCCAATAGCATTAATATTCAGCAACCCTTCCTCAGCCCGGATCGAAATAGGTTTCCGCGCTTCCTCTTCTATATAAACCGGCTCTCGGTCAGTATCTCACTGATATCCTCGCTGAACATGCTCGGGTTATCCCGAATGAAAAGAAATTGCTCCCGAGGAACCCCTTTGCCTTCACCACGGAAAAGTGTGACAGTGTTATCATAAATCCTCTTGGACTTCTGCCATCTGTAGAGCCGGGTGGTTGATACGGAGAATAACAAAAACAGGGTCTGATAGAAGCGAATGAGCTGCTCTTGGTGGATAGGTTCCTTACAGTTCCCAAAATGGTAATCCTTGAGTACCTGGGGATCCCTAGGGATCCTGTCCTTCATGACATCGTCATAGAGATCATCCGCCGTCGTGCGCTCTGTCATCCAATCTTGGACACAGGAATGCCTTTTGGTGAAGACGGCTCGCCTGTTACATAAGCCTCTGCAAAACTTGCCGGTGTCGCAAATGTAGCAAGTCTTTTGTGAATTACCCTTTCCACACATCTCGCATTTGTCTCTGACTTCCTCCGAGGTTGAAGAAGGTTGTGGTCCCGGGTCCAACGCCCAGACAAGATAGGATCCCATTTTGTGAGGAGGCCAGAAAACAGCGATGTAAAGCGTATCGAGATGAGAAATCCTTCGAATGGTTGTTTCTGATACAGAGAGGTCAGCGAAGTAAAGAGCCGCGAGTAAATGTTCTGTTGCGTGAACTTGCTTACCGCTCAAGCTGATGAGATAAATAAAGTATCCAGTTCAAAGTGAGATGCGGTGATGGAAAGATTGAAAACAGAATCGGAAGCAGAGATGGGAAGACATACACCCCAAGGGAAAATTTATCCAAGTTAGAGGGTCAGTCATGCTTAATCTAAATCTAGGTTTTATCAGATGTCGCCCGGCTGCAGAGTGCCTGGAACAGTAGCCGCCGTTTCTACATATTAATTTTAGGAACAAACCTTTCCTGATGAAAGTTTCAGATTTGTAGAAGTGAAAAGTTAGACCAGCACGTTGATAGAACCCACTAGGAAGGAAGAGAAAGGGGCTGAGCGGGAGAAAGTGGACAGACCGAGGAAGGAAGGGAATAAATGCCGTTAAGCAGAGTAATTTGAGACAAACGCATTTGATTCTAAAACGAAAGAAAGAAAAGCTTTTTTGATTCTTCAGTAAAAACTTCACTAAAGTTGATGCAGCATCTCTGGCCTCGTTAGCTGGAGGCTGATCTCCTCACATCATTCGTTACTCGGTGAGGCTACTCAGAACACAACTTATTCTCCGCGCATGATTTTCCAGCGCCATAGAATGAGAGCAAGAGCATTGCATAGTTCTTGGAACTGGTAGTATTATGACAAGATGGGCTCATGCTTCGTGATAGGAGTGATCAACGCAAACAGCCTTTTTCACATTTTGCCCGTATGAATGACTCTATGGCACCTCGATATTTCAACATTCTGCTTCACAGCTCAAGATCTTTCCATGAAAATTCAAAAGCGTGTGACTAGTATCTAACTAGCTAAATCGTAGCAATATCACAGGCCAAAGGTATCATTCTCAAGAGTGGTGAATGATCCACCCCATTTGCAGACATTCTTAGAAGCTCAGCTTCTGGCCAGCTTCAGAGGGCACTTTTGAAGCTACGCTGCCAGAACCTAGCAGAGAATATGAGTAAGGGAAGCTGCCGGCGCTCAGAGTGCCAGTCGGTGCCGTATTGGCACTCTCGCCACCCAGCACGACGTCAATGGCCACGGCGTACCCAGTCTCGCTGCTTGACTCGCTGAAGATTGCCTTCTTGCCTACATTTGCGAACACGGATGACTGAATCAGCGCCTGGGCATTCATTCGGGTGTTCAGTCCCGTGTCCATAGTATTGTAGTATTGGCTTTTAGTTTGAGATGTTAGTGACCAGGTTTCATGATCTCCTCCCTCCCGGAAGTGCGAAGTTTGCGACCGCGATGGGTAACTTACTTGTAGATATGAGCAGTTCCAAATCTCAACAGAGGGCCACGGCTGCGAACGTTGTAGAAATAGTTGTTGGCATAAGTTACACGCAGATGGCCAGTGTCCTCGGCAGAGTTTTTGTCAGAGTGACCAACCAGCGTGCCCTTGGACTAAAACGGATGCCACCAGCGATGTCAGTTAAAACATAATCATATCTCGTGTATGTCGGAAGAGAGAAAACTCACGTGGTCATGTAAATAAGTGTAGGAAATGGTCACATAGTCGGCGGCATGAGACAAGTCGACAAGTCCATCGTATTGATCCTTGTCCACGTCTCTGTCTCCTGAGAGATCGACGTGGTCTACCCAGACATTGGTCGACTTTTGGATGGTAATGCAATCCCCATATTCAGCCAATACCTTGCTGATCTTCAGGTTTCGGACGATGACGTTTTTCTGTCCGTTGATTGTGAGGCCGACGCCGGTGAGAGCTTTATGCAGCGAAAGATGTCTGTTAGACTTTGAAAGCCAAATACTGGGGTCGACGGATTCATCTTACAGCTTCCAGCCTTTCCAATGATGGTCTTGTCGGAAGTGACAGACACCTTGGCTGCCCCGGAGATATTGCCTTCTACCAGAATAATGGCGGCACCGCTTGCGCTGGCAGCAGCTTGCAGCTCAGCCACGGTCTTCACGGTTACTTGTGAGCCGCTGGCTCCTCCCGTAGTTCTGCCCTCCTATCGTTAGCGATCTGTTTCCTTTGACATGAAGGCCGTGGTACATACCCGCCATTTTGAGTGCAGTAACCAATGTTGCAAGCATCGGTTACGGACGCCCTCTTTTCAAGGGTCACGGGGGAGGCAACAGCCGTCCCGACGAGCGCAAATAGAGCGAGCGGGGAGCCGAACTTCATGATGAATGACTGAATATCGTGGGATTCTGATCTTTGGCGGCTGTTGCAGTATCTGCTTTTAGGGTGAGAGATAAAGATCTGTACACGACCTTTCCGAGGATGAACAGGCCGAGGGCAATTTAAAAGGCATTACTATTTTCACTCCCAACCCCGGTCTCACTCATATGGGACCGGACACTTGATCGTCAGTAGTTCCTCGAACCAATACCTTCCACCACCGCCGATCCCATGCAATTAATCATATATTGGCCCTTGGCAACAGCGCGGTTGGAGGGAAAATTGTGTGGTGAGTGTTTCAAGGGGTTGCCGGTGAATCTGCCTCCGGATTTCCTATTCCGCCGCTTCTGGGATTAGACGGAAGGTTGAGGCTCACTGACTCATGATTTGGGGTAGGACTCTCTGGGGGAGAATCTTATTCCGTAAAATGGTTGCAGTTACATTTTCCATTTCCCCTTTCTCCATCTTGGCACCCATTCCGCAGCCATGACATTAATCTTTGCCAAGAACCCCGAGACAGGCTGCTGTAGCACGTCTACACTTGGCTTCCACTGCTACCTTGGATCATTCAACTGGGGATCCCACGTCGAAAATTCCAGATCAAATGGTATCGCATCAAGGGTATTAGCAAGCTCAAGTGCAGACGCCATAGGCCAATCCCAAACATTCCACTGTAGCTGCTCCGTTGCCAAATTGGCGACTTCTGTTCCTGTGAACGTCTTTTGACACAGCAGGTCGAGGACATCTGCGCACTGCTTCAGGCTACCCCCAACGTCGTCTGTAAATCCGCCCAGTTTCCTAAGCGCCTCAGAACACTGTCTAACTGTGCTCTCATCACTCACCGATGAGTCGGAAACAGTGTAGCCATTCCAACGAGCGAATAAAATGGTGAGGCCGGCTTGCCAGACCATATGGGCCCCTATTGGGTATAGTAGGATGACAACCAGCGGCTCAACATGCTTGTTCACAGGGTGACCTGCCTGGTCAAACACGAGCTGAGCGTCGAACCCTTTAAAGTTATTCGAGATGATTTGTATCAGATTTGAGGCTGCACGAGTGCAAGCTTTCAGAGAAAGCTGGAATTGTGGGTTGACTGTAGTGAATGCGAGAGCTGGACGGTGGACGTGTGCTGTTGCTACGCACAGTGTGGCTCTGAGGAAAGCTAGGCAAAATGATGAGATCGCAAGTGCCTGCGCATCATTCTTTAGATCGCCAGTCCCTGGCTCGGCAATTTCAGCATCCGATTCGCTTGGTAGAGAGTGCTCCCAGGCGTCGAGCTCAGCTTGCAGTCTGGTTATCTTAGCCACACCACCACGCCGCCTAGTAGTGCTGTACAGCTTCTCAAGAGTATCGCCGATGATGCGGGCGAGTTTGAAGAGAAGCATGGCACCATCGACCTGAGAGGCTTCTCCTGGGAGAGGGAAAGATACATGAGACCTTGACAAGAGGTCGTGATCAACTCGAGTAGGCAAGTCTGTGTCAACGTCCTGATCACGGATTAGGCGCGGTATTCCGTGATGAGCACTTGACATTCTACGCAAGTAGAGGTTTTCGTTAGCAAAGCAATATCGATAGAGATAGAGAGATGAGTGCCATTGTGGACTTACACATCTAGGGTATATTGGCACCACCATACACGCCGTCGGAGCTCTGTTTCCAAAGGGTCGAACTTAAAGCGGTTCGAATGTCGGTGAAGGCCCAGATTCTGAGCCAGCCTCGTCGCAACACCACTGATGTGGGATGCAAGTGTATAGCGCGAGGTAAGCTGAAGGTAAATTTGCGTCATCTCAAGACCCTGCAGTGTTTGGAGGCAAGGCCGGTCCAGGATATGTTCAAGAATCAACGCGGACATATCGTAGTAGGGCTCAGAGGCACACACATAATGGTAGTGGTGCCGCATGCATGTTCCTTGGTTGCCTAGGCTCCCTACAGCCAGCAATATGAGAGTTTGGTATAGAATGACGACGTTTTCCGCAAATGGGTGGGAAATAACTTGTCTGCATATGTCCATGGTGGAAGGCTTATGAAAGATTGGATATAGCGGAGTCCAGCGATCAATTGTTGCAGCCACTGTCTCGAGAGCTTGAGGAGGAAGTCTGGAGATAACGTCACGAGCGACTTGCGACGGAGATCTTCTCACTGATGCATCCCAGAGACTATGAAGATGCATGCTGTAAGTACAGCTAGGGAACGCGTCTGCATGCATCTTTTGCATCTGGACTTGCTGTTCCGCTTGGCTAATAAAGTGTGCTCCAGTGGATGAACCCGCAAACATGGCGATTTGTTCGTCATTAGATACCAACCGGCCCATGTGCCCTATAACGGGATCTGTAGCAGGTTGTTGGGCTATAATAGGGGCGTCCGTTGCGAAAGCAGTCGTTCGTGGTGTCTGGCTTGCCAGGCTACCTTGATGGTTTGGAATTCTATCAACCATTGGTCGAAGCTGAAGATCATGTGATGAAATGCCTTCAGTGGTAGACACTAGTCGGCTAGGCGAAATGACTGAGGCTCCCCTTTGACTGTGCGAAGGGTCTGGGCTAGATGTTTGGGTATTCTGAATTGGCTCCTTGTCCTGTGCCTCATAGTAACTGGTATCCGAAGACTATTAGCGAAGGTAGAGTGGAATGCCAACCAAGGACGGCAATATTCTGTACCTCTTTCGTTTCCTGTTCCTCTGAAGTCTAGTTGTTCTTACACAAGTCGCTCCGGCCACTGAGCAAGGCTCGCACTGCGGTCTCATGTTAGTAAAGAGGACACTCCAACCAAAGTGAACAATGATCGGTAGGCAGCACGGATTATGCGTTTCTTACATCTTCACCACCTCCATAGCATCTTATTTTCCGCCTGTATAAACCAACTTAAATGTCAGTATGCAATCACTGAACTTACCACGGCTGTGGTGGTCGCTTACCGGCGGCATCGATCGCTATCAGGTCAGTCACTTGGTTAGCAGCCGACATAGAAGAAAGTAAAACTGAGCCATCCTGAAGACATACCAAACTTGACCCGCGGACAGGCTTTCCGATGATACCGGGGTCGCCATTCCTAGCTAGAAAAGGATTGGGTCGATGCTTGAGAATCAATGCCTGCGGCGAAGGGAGAAATTGCCACTTCAAGCCACCAACCTCTCCAGAATCAGTGCTACAAGTAGTGCCCAGAGCCGCTGCTTTGACGCACAGTCCCAGAGTCGTGGGGATGAGGAAGAGAAGCGGAGAATGGCTCAAGTCAAAAGCTCACAGGTAGAATTGTGGGCTCTAGATTTGTGGGAGCCGACTCCGGCCGGATATGTGGAGAAGCTTAAGGTACTTCTGTGTCATCTCCTAGTTGCTACAGTTTAGACATCACAGAGCTCTCTACGAGACCATATTGAGCTGGCCTGACCAAGCACGGGGAACGAACAAGCTAGAACAATGCTCTGGAACTTTTCAGGCTTTAGTTTACCTACACGGCTTCGTCTTGGAGAACATTGAAAAAGCAGAACAGTCTCCATTCAAGCAATCCATTGACCATCGTATTCTTGTGGAGGATAAGAATGCTTCATGTTCAGTATCTACAGATGGCATAAAAGCTCGATCATTCCCATCTGGTGATAGTATCTACGAGAGATTGCTGATAAATGAAAATCATTCCTCCCAGCCCAAGCCGGAGCAGTACAGCGACATAACCTTTAATCGTGGCCATTCAACCTCGAAAAAGCATCGGCAGTGCTAACAAGTCCCGTGACACCAAGTTCTCCCTTTGTAAGAATTCCCTCCTCCCCACTCCAGCTTTTATCCTTCGCCTGTTCGAAGTATGTCATCATCTTGTTCATCACCTCACCCCACATCGGCCAAGTTTCGCAGAACGTTTCCTTATCCACTTGAATGTATCTAGCTTCTTTTTTCTGCGCTTTTGCCCAGCGAGATAGAAACTCGCCGGCTGTCAAGTCTTCGACATCGGCAAGGACGAACTTTCCGGGCAATGTCAGCTCTCGCTTCTCGATGATGGCTTTGACAAAGCGGCCAACGTTTGCTTTTGCGTCGCCGATGCTTTTGATCGAAACAGATTCGGGTGTAGCCTGAAGCTGAATGAACTTATCAGGGCCGGCAGTGGGAACGTTGAATGGCTGGAATACGGGAAACAGGATATTGGTTGCGTAGAAAGCGACCCAGAGGAATGTCGTCTTCTGCAACAGAGAGGCGTTGGACTTAATGTAATCATCCACCGTATTCTTCCCGTCGAAATGCGGTACCACGTTCTTGCCGTTGGAGATCTTGCGAGTGTTTGGGAGGGTGGACCAGATGTAATGCTCAAGAGATGTTGTTGCCGCCGCTGCGTTGGCCAATTTGATTCCCTGTTGAACTTCAATCTCAATTGCCTCCTCGGCACCGATGCTCCCGAACCTCTCGTAGAAGTTAGTGACGCCGAAAACGATTTGGGAGCCTGAGAAGGCTCGGACAAGCGACTCATAGTCATTGACGTCTGCCTGCACCACGGAGGCACCGAGGTTGGCCAACTCTTGGGCCGCAGCGCTTTTGGGGTTTCTTGTAACAGCCCTGACAGTATACGCGGTGTCCTGGAGCAGAGCCCTGACGATTGAGCCACCCTGAGAGCCGGTAGAGCCGACGACGGTAACGATTTTCCTCGACATGATGAAACTGGTCAGTGAGAGGCGTGGAAACTAAGTCTGTGTTTGATACTGTTGTCCTTGCATTTCAATCATGGCTTCGGAGGAAGAGCCTCTACTTATATACATACCCAAGGAGTGTTCAGAAAACACCTACAACTAGCACTTGTGGCCCACGGCACCGAGAGTATCTATTACAAGAACGCCGTTCATGTCGCCATGGCCGTGTTGTAGGAGGGCTGGAGGCGGGTGAGCGCCGGCACTAAGCACCGAACGCCGAGCACCGAGAAATGTCGGCACTGGGGCCGGAGCACATTCTTAATGAATCAGACGGGATAACAGGCTTTTTATCCATAGATCCATGATATATGTCTGGCTAGACTTAAAGTTAGAAGCCATTTCGTTAGTGGTCTGTTTACTTTTTAGCGAGTAGTTTCCCAAGCAGCCGTTCAAACGCCAATAGCCGCCTTGCAGGTGCATCAATTCTTAACCATAAATGGCGGGACAATTTCTGGTTACGATGTCGACGTTTTCAATTATTTTCACAAGAAGGCACAGAAGAGAGTAAGCCGTATATCGAAGGAGAGGTGGACATGAAAACCACCACTGCTCAGTTCCAAGAACAGAAATTGACTTTGGTATGTTGCGTTTTCCACAATGATATTACCTGCTTACGTTGAACTATTCGACTCTTCTAGGATCCAGTCTTGATCAAACCAGCTAATATCATCCAGAGGATTAAACTGTGCGAAGCTTTCCCAGCCAGTTGCGGAATCAAAGTTTTCCAACCCCATTGGTGTTTGGCGCTGCATCGTTTGGTTGAGAACGTGATCAAGAACCTTTTTGATAACGGATTTTGCGTTGGATGCAACACAATGATTAGGCTGTGACGGCCCTGATGAGTTCAAGAATCCTACCAGAATGCTCAGTTGCTGAATGATAGATGATCTGGAATAGATCTCGCCTGCGATGACATGTCCGTCTGCTACACTCTCCATAGGGCTCGGGTCTACCAGCTCCAGGCACAAAAGCGCCCCGGCGGGGGCTGCATGTCCCATTATCTAGAACCAATTAGACGCAGTGTTAAGAAGATCGCCCTCGTGGGGTTTGAGGGCGATCATCAGATATATGGCAGGGCAAGCTTACCAGCCAGTGGCATTCTCGTTGGCTTTCTGTCCATCTGTGTTTGTTGGTCCAAAAGTGCATAGTCAAGACAACCATTTCAAAACTAGTCCGCAGGAGGTCTCCTCTTGACTGGCCATTCCTGACCAGCAATCGCTCTACTAAGAATAGATTAAGCAGGTGATCAAGTCGTATGACTAGTTGTGAGTAGATCAGTTGCGGATCAACGCCTGCGATATCGTCAAATGTGGGATTGCCAATCATGTGAATTGGTAGCTTTTCATATAGATCAAGCTCTTTCGTTTTCAGCTTCCTGTCAAGATGATTAGATATCACCTGCACCCTTTAACATACGGCATTTGTGCTCTCTTACAATATATCATCGAGGGTAAAATCATCAGAGTAACCCAAGCCAATTTCAAGAACGCCATCCCGGATTAAAGCTACCATCATGCGAAAGCGAAGGATCGAACTTGAGTATATGCGGCCTCTTTGGTTCCACCCGTTAGAATCAAGGTTACGGATTTGCTCCTGAAATACCTCTGTGTCAGATACTAATGCAGTATCGTCCAAATCCAAAGGCAATTTGATACGGCAAAATCTTCGTGTCAGGAGAGGTGGGCGTCCCACAAATGTAGCAAGGTATTTATCTACAATAAATATTTGGCACATGATTCGTCGCCGAGCCTCCAGCGATGGCGTTGTCTGCGAAGCAGAAGCCAATGGGTCCCTGGACCTGTCGTCGTGATAGCCAGCAAAGGTTAGCATCGCAACTGTTTCAGCGTGAAACTTCCAATATGGAAGACCTGGTTGAGATCAGCTTCATTACGCCAGAAATTATTTACTAACCAGCAAAAGATCGCGATCGAAGTAAACACAGAGAACGCGTCTAAAGATGCACTTACTAGTATCTCCATGCATGCACGCATGTAACACCGAGCGTTTATACAATAAAAAGAGCATCAGAGAGCCAGAGCTACCCCCGATGTTGGCGAGAGTGATGCAAGATGAGCAATATTCCGTATAGTTGCCTATGAGCTTTCTAGACTCTGCACTCGTGGAGGCAGAGACAGATAATTCACCGAAGGCTGCGTACATAAACATCAACCCAACCGCCTCCCACCGCAGGTTGGGCCCTGAGAAACTTTGAAGCCATTCCAAAGGGTCTCCTTGGTCTTCTTTCAATACTCTTCTTGTGTTGATGCAAATCATGCCGCCAAGCTCGCGCAACTTGGCTCTATTTTCCCTGTCACGGAGACGGGAACCAAACGTTTCCCAAGTGCTCGCTGTCAACCTTTCGCCAATTATCCTCATCCACTCATCATTAGGGTTGGAGTGGAGCTGGAAAAGGGCTGCAGTGGTCTTTTCACGACCAGGGATAGCTTGCAGGACCCGGACAGCAAGTTGGGTTGCTGTTGTGTCCATATTCACCATGTCCTGAATCTCGGTCACCGACGGCGGCGTTGCTTCATCGGTCAAGACTGAGTCCGAGGACAAGGCCACGTCCCTCGTGATCAAGGGTTCCTGCACGGCCAAAGTTGTCTCAGTCTCCAAGTAGGCAGTCAAGAAACTGCTCTGGCCGAAGAAACCCGGGTTCGCTCTAACTGCTGGCGAGCTCCAAAATTTATCTTCCGGGGCGACATGTCCATGTGGCCAGGATGAAGGCTCCGTAGAATGTGAGTCCGGCGCCCGCTTTGCGTGTTCCGGTTGACTAGAGTGACCTGGCGCTGCATAATAACAAGTTGATTCTCCGTTCGGTCGCTTCATGCAACGTCCACACACCGGGTAGCCATGATCGCATGCTACCTTTCGTCGTCGACAGGGCTCGCATGCTTGCTTCTTGCCATTTCGCCGCGTCACAAGTGGGCTGGCCATAAGAAGCGACTTGTTACAACTCACGATTGCGATGATGAAAAGCGCGGACAAGTATTGCTTACAAATGACCGAGAAACTCTGTTGCGTTTTAGGTAAGATCGGCTTACTTCATTTGTTGATAAATTCTTAAGATCTCGGTTTAATTTCGGTCAATATTGAGTATCTTCCCAGGAACAGGCCACACAGAGTTCTGATGCCAAATCGTCTCAAGTTAAGCAATCATTCTTGATATGAAGGCTCCAACAAGTTGAAGAAATAGAAAATAATGTATATATCATAACCACTTTCTACATGAATATCTCTGGATTATAAGTCATTTGGCCTCCTGATAACGTTGAGTACGGCCTCTGTGCGATTGATGTTGTTCTCACTATAGGGTAGGCCGGAACTCAGCCGGTGACAGTGCGGACCTCGGTTCAAGTGAGGTCTAGGCAAAGTGATAAATTAACATGGTAAGTAGGGATTATGGAAATTGATAACGATTGCCGCCATATTAGTGGATAGCTAAAATTATGGCCCTAGCAATCCCTTCAAGGATGGATCCTGGTTTGCCATCTCTCACCCTGGCTGCCAGTGTTGTTGACATCGGCCTTAGCTCAAGATAGGTATAGAATGAATCCAATGGTCCAGGATGATTGCATACAATACAACCAATAGGAGGCAACTCTGCATGAATAAATGGATCACATTGAAGAACGGTTAGATTACATCGTTTGAGGGACTTACTGAAGTCCTTAACAGCAACATGACCACGTCATCGCAACGGAATTGGTTAGGTGCGACGATATAATAATTAATATCGGTAGGCATGAAGTGTATAAGTCTGTTGATTTTTATTCCTTACTATTGCTACTATTGCCACATAAAGACCAGACCGCCCCCAAACTGTTCTTGCTCTCAATCTCATCTGTCTCTACCGCAAACACACCTAAGGCTCTCCCTAGGTTCCTAGCATGTCTGAGAATAATCCGGACGACAAAGCAGTCAAGGCCGGGGCGCGGGTGTACATCCCCCTGCTGCTACCCTTCTACGACTTCTGGGTTTTATGGATCTCCAATACTTATGTGTGGAAGTGTCCCACTGATGAGGTCCTGGTCCCGTTATTCCGGTCCGCTCTGGGTGAAACTCATCTAGATATTGGCGTCGGCACTGGTTATATCCCAGCGAAAGCCATTGTTCGGTCAGCATGCCAGGAGATAACCTTATTGGACTTAAACCCAAACAGTCTTTCCTTTGCCAAGGCGCGAATCGAATCCTCCGACAAAATGGTCAAGGTGAAGACGCTCCTAGCCGACGCGCTCGAGCCGCTCCCCCTACCCGAGTCAGAAAAATTTGACTCCATCAGTCTTTGCCACCTTTTGCACTGCCTCCCTGGATCACCGGAGAGCAAGACTCGGGTTTTCGATTATGTCAAGCCACACTTGGCACGTGACGGGACCTTGGTCGGTTGGACAATCTTGGGCAAGGAGGCTCCCATGAATTGGTTTGCTTCTGTGTTGATGAGGAGCTATAACAAGATACGCGTCTTTTCAAATTGGGATGATAATCTTGCCGCATTTGAACAAAGCTTGAAGAGGAACTTTGAGGAAGTTGAGGTTTGGACTGTCGGTAGGGTATGCGTGTTTAGGGCTAGGAAGCCATTAGACTCGCCGATTGAAGCTCGGTCATGAGCCCCCAATGAGGCTGCACAACCTTTTTCGCTCCGGGACATGACCACTCTTAGCTCCGATAGCGTTATATCATTGGGCAGCGATGCTGGGGTTCTAGATTTATCCATCGCGGACCTGATTGAGAATGAATAGAGTTGTCAATTCCTGGGGGGGGGGGTGGCTTCGCATTCTTACTTTGGCTGAATCTTGTTTTATAGTACACTAATTCACTTAACAACAATACCAAGCCCCAATTTATATATTTTGTACATATTTTGTGTCACTACCATCCCGAGTAGAAAAGTGTCTTGGGAATTACGGTCGTATGTGATTTCTTCAGCCTGATCTAACCAGACAGGTAGATGTATCTACAGAGCGTGATCTGCACCGAATTGAGGCTATACGTAAATTAGTCTTGCGGATCTCCTTTCAGCGAGCTCATAAGTGACAGATACGTGCATAAATCTGCCCTTTTATTTGAACAGAAACAGAGACGCCTCGATCTCGGACCCAACAAGAATCAGTACGCATACAAAGCGATGCTCTCATCTTCTGATTCCCGAATCTTGCGGTTTTCCCTCATGAGCCACACTTTCATAGCCCAAGCACAGAGAATGCTCGTAGCAGCAAATGCAACCATTGTAGAGAATCCCATCATGTACTTCGGACCATCAGATTTGGGCCACAGGTACGCGCAGTAGATGTAGGCGAGGTTGGCCGTCACGTTGACCAGAGAGTAAGCCACAGCCTTCTTCTCAGGTGTTTGCGACAGAGTGTTGCTGACCCATCCAAGGATGACGGAGCCTACACCGTAAGCACCTGTTGCGTACAGGAAAGTAGCCGTGTATCTGGCCGCAGAGTTGACGGTTGCGCAGCTAATGACGAATCCCACCACGGCCAGAGCGAGACCGGCTGTGATGTGCCAGGTTCTTTCGTTGAAACGACCGGATGACCAGGCAAATGGGATGCCCAAGATACCAGAGACGAAGTAAGGTGGTGCGGTGAGAAGTAGCGCGGTTGTAGATTCGAAGCCCCTGCACGGAGTATTGTCAATGTCTGACTCCATATGGCTGGATCTTGACCTCATTTTGATCATGGAACTTACATTTCTTGGACGATGGTGGGGAAGAAGTTGTTAAAAGAGCATGCGCTGTGAATTTTTGTTAGCCATGTAGCCTTGGGCGGATTACCACTTTGGAATAAGAAGACACACCTGATGTGCAGATTCTGCATGAGACAGAACAGCCATGTCTTCGGGTCCTTGATGGCTTGCTTCAGACCCTCCAAAGTTGTGCCTCGCTCCTTCTGGTTGACGGTATCTTTCTTGATTCTGGAAATGCATAGTTCTCGCTCCTCGGGTGTGAGCCAACGTGTCTGAGAGGGGTCGTCTGGCAAAAGGAAGAAACCGAAAATGGCGACAAGAGAAGTCACACTGCCCTCGATGATAAATAGCCTTGGGCTGTGTTAGCTCACAACGGCAACACCCAAAGGCTGAAATAAACTGTTAAAGAAAGGACTTACCATTTCCATCCAGGAATGCCTTTTACTTTATCCAACGTAGAAAAGGTTGCCGCAGCAATGAGCCCAGAGCAGCCAGTGCTTACGACTTGTCCAGTATATAAAATCGATATGCGAGTGGCTAGTTCTTTGCGAGTGTAATAGATCGATAGAAGGTAGAGAGCACCGGGATAAAAGGGCTATTCAAAATATCAGCACATGTTGTGAGTCACAAGGTCAATTTCAGGAGATCAATTGGTAGAATTACAGCTTCAACGAAACCTAGGAAGAACCGGCAAGCAACCAAACCGGCGTAGTTGGTAACTCCAGCGGTCGCGGCTGAGACCGCTGCCCAACCTATCATACAAATAGATAAATAGATAGAGGGCCTTGTTCGCGTCATAAACATGTTTGAGGGAACTAAATCTAGAATTAGCGTTTCAATCCAAAGGAGATTGGTGTGTGACAAGAACCAACCTTGCATCAACAGGTAGCCGACGAAGAGGATGGAGATGGCGGTATTGTATTCGACCCCCTTGAGGTTCAAGTCTTTTTCAAGGCTGTTCAGGCGGGCCTGAGGCAGCGCATTGCGATCAAGGTAATTGAGGAAGTACATAGCCCAGAGAATAGGCTGGACATGGTTAGGAAGCGCGTTACAAGAGTTGGTTGGACAGTTCTCACCATGATAAACCTGTCAAGCTTTCGGACGAGGGCTATCTCAGCAGGATCGGTCTTCTCTGAAGCGCCAGAGTAGTCACCTGCTACCGCCCCTTTCTGAGGTACGGAAGGCTGCTCATCATGGGCGATGTCCAACTTGGTAGCGTCCTGATGTTTTTGCGATCGAGCAGATAGGGATGAGCGTGGCGACCCCATTGTTTCTGGGACAGCTCGAATCAAACGCGTTGTCTTAATGAAAAAGGTAACAAGATTGGGAACAAGGTTTGAGCAGGAGAAAAGAGTTGAGGTTATGCCACATTCGCTCTTGGAACTGGGTCCTTCGATGGACCGGCAGAACGATTGTGACCGGGTCACGATGGCTTTTATAACCCAGACTCTACCATGCCTCATTGACGAGAACCTAGCATGTTTACAAGATTTTCCTTTCCTCCGCATGTTCTCCTCCATTGGAGAGAGTCAGGGTCGACTGAGTGTGGAGTATCAGTACACAAGTCCGGGGGAAGAATGCGGAGTGACTCCATCAACTGGATCCCTGCTATTCCGCTATCCCGTTACCCCTCTACGCCGTGGACGAAATGCGAGTCGCACATTGGCCGCTGGCGTCCTATCCCGTCTCCTCACGAGTCGTATCCCGTTATCCCGTGCAGGCCATGGATCCCGAGCGTAGGGTCATCATGAGAAAACCACAGCGCCTGACTAGCATGTATGCAATGCAAGAGCGATGAGGGGAAGAATCGGGACGCTCGGCATTGACCAGTAGTAGAGAAGATCCAGTTCCTAAATTTATTTATTCAAACGTGCCTCTGCCACTCGTCCCCGGAAGTCTGGGTCTTCGCCGTTTGCCCACACGCTTGACTTCCGTCATTTTGTCTTATACTGTGGATATTGCAAACAATCATTGAGCATGGCAGCTGCGACAGTCTTCGATTCCGTTCTATTCGGAAACATTTTTGGCACCGAGGAGGTGCGCGAGTGTTTCTCCGAGCGCTCTTACGTGTCTCGCATGATCGAGGCTGAATGCGCCCTCGCTCAGGCAGAAGAACAGGAGGGTGTCATCCCAGCTGGCGTTTCTTCAGTCATTCGTGAGCACAGCGATGTTTCCAAGATCGACTGGCAGCGATTAGCAGCCAGGACTGAGATTGTAGGCTACCCAGTGCTTCCGCTCGTGGAGCAAATGTCCAAATGGGTCCCGGACTCAGAATGTAAGTCAAGGCCCCCTGCGATTGATGCCCTGGAGATACAATAAATCTAATGGAAGTGGCCTTGAGCAGCTGGATACATACACTGGGGTGCGACGACCCAAGATGTCATGGACCTTGCCTCAACACTCCAATGCAAGTCCGGCCTCGTCATTGTCGAACGCCTCCTCCGATCTGTGGTAACAACACTCGAGAACATGGCTGCCAGATACCGAGACAGTCCCATGGCAGGTCGCACCCATCTCCAACACGCATTGCCTATCACGTTCGGTTATAAATGCGCAGTCTGGCTTGCTGGCCTTCACAGACATGTAGAGCGCCTCGAGCAGCTCAAGGAGAGATGTTTAATGGTACAATTTGGTGGTGCTGCAGGCACTTTGGCATCTCTTGGTAGCTCAGATGCTGGAATCCGAGTGCGAAATACTCTCGCAAAGATCCTCGGCCTGAGAGACCCTATAGTAACCTGGCACGTCACACGAGACTCCGTTGCTGAGATTGTCAACTTTCTCGCGCTGGTTGGGGGCACACTAGGCAAGATTGCCATGGATCTCATTATCATGTCTTCCAACGAGCTCAACGAGGTAACACTAATCATCTCACCCTGAAATACACATCGAATTTGACTAATGCTCTGGATTGTTCCTCTCCATAACAGGTTGCCGAGCCATATGTCCCACACCGAGGAGCTTCATCTACGATGCCGCAAAAAAGAAATCCAATCAGCAGCGAAGTCATACTAGCACAATCTAAGATCCTGCGCGCCCAGGCAGGTCTTGTTCTCGACGGCATGATCGCCGATTTTGAGCGAGCCTCGGGGCCCTGGCACCTTGAATGGGCAGCTATTCCCACGGCTTTCATCTCCGCAGTCGGCGCACTGCACCAAGCAGACTTTGCTCTGTCAGGGCTGCAGGTCAACACCGATGCTATGCTCACTAATCTCGACTCTACACGAGGACTGATCGTGGCCGAAGCCGTGATGATGGGCCTTGCCAAGTATATTGGGCGACAGGAAGCTCATGAAGTGGTATACCGCGCATGCGTTGCAGCAGTAGAAGAGAACTGCTCGTTGCTGGAAGCTCTGAATAAGAATACCCAAGTAACGAGCCACATAGTTTCAGCTCAAATAGCCGAGCTGTGTGATACTACGAAATACTTGGGCTGTTGCCAGCTTATGGTTGATGAGCTTCTCGCAGCCAAGGTGCCAGAGGCGCCGAGCAAAACGAACGGTCATCTTACAAATGGCCATTCAAAGGTTGAAAAGTCACAGTTGAATGAGGCATAGCATACGGCTAGTGCAGTTTGAAACAGTTGGTAGTTCAGCAAAGATGCCCCTTATAGGCAGGCAAGGGCTCTTTTTGGTGTAGCCATACCAAGCGGGGAGCGGGGAATTCCCGAGATATCCCTCAGTTATATAGAGGTCACAAAAAACGGTATACAACACGGGGAGATATAACAGTTATGTCTAACCTCCAATGAGCCTCACAGAGCCCCAATGCCTGTAGATCTATGAAACTTGTTTAAAAAAATCAACACCCGGCGGATTGCAAGGCTTTGGTCACTGAAAATACAGAAAGTCAGGTCCGATGATCGCTGGATTCAAAGACTGTTCTTGGTTTGAAAAGAGCAACGTTCTCATCTTCGAGGGCTCACCTTACACTCATGCAAAGTAGTAAGCATAACTAATAACTCACTTCGAGAACTCATTGAGGGCTTGGAAATCAGCGTTGCCACGGTCCGCATTGCCCTTGTATTGCATTAGTCACGTGATTTCAGGTGGCATCGCTATCGGATCACATTAACGAAGGTTGGCAGTTTTGATCTAGTTGCACGGTGTTCAGTTCACGCAAAAAGATGATAGCAAATCTGATGGCTCGCTTTTGGTGGTTCCCCTGGCATCTTCCACTCGTAGCTCCGCTACAACTAGCATTGCCTCAGGCTTTCCTCTATTATATGCTGATATTGACATCACACGAGGAGAAGCTGGGCTCGTCCAAGTTCGATGCAGCCAAGGCGGAAACATGTTCTTAAGTCTCGCCTTACGGGGCATCTCCTCAACGCAAGCACCTGCGCCAATCGAAGCAGTTACATTAGGTCATGGTTCATCCGTCTCAGCAGATTCGAAGCTATTCTGCTTCCAGAATATACCCGTGGTGGGAGACTTGGAGGAGGTATGCAAATCTTTGCGGTATTTGCCATGGAAAAGACTACGAAACTCACAGGGAACATTTGGCTATATCGAGGGACGACTCTATGATTGATCTGATCCCTCTGGACTGGGAAAGGGTTCCTACGGTCCATCAAATTGCTTCTGGCCTGGCTGAGATGCCTGTCTTTGGGGTGCTAGAAACCGCAGTCCAGGAAGTTGAACATGAAGAGGATTTCACAAAAGCTGAGAGGATTGTATAAATTTAGAGTTGAAGCAAAGGTAGTATTATCTAACACACGAAAAAAAAAGCATCTCATCCAAGTTGACAAACTTGCACCCCGATCAATTAAAGCTCTACAAAAAAGGCCGTACTTGAGCTTCGCTCCACTCCCAGTACTTGCGACCAAGTTCAGGGTCCACGAGATCTCTACGTGGCTCTGCCTTCCTTCCAAACGGAGTGACTGGGATTTGTTAGTGTAATTTCCAGAATTTCAAAATGCTAGTGTACTTACTCCATAGATCCTCAGGTGTTATGGAAGAGTCTAGTCCGGCAAACAATTCGGTGTAAGCCCCGTGCTTGGCTGGACTTCCCGCCATTTTCTATTCATATGTTTAGAATCGAGTATTTAGTCAAGCCGTGATGTATCCGAGTGGTGTACTCACAACAAAGGCCAGCTGTGTGGCAGAGAAGTTCCGCTGCAAATTCGTCTAGAGCAGTCCTGGGTTCAAGGACTGCGTGACAGATCTAGTTAGTATACCCCGTAAAGCTCGCAGCAGTTCATTCCAAGTCACTCACCGTGCTAACGATGCCAGCGTTCTTCTGAAGCCGGGAGAACTCGGCTGCGTGTAACAGATTTCCCGCCTTGGATCGTTCATACTTTTGAGAAATACTTTCATCTTTGTGGTAGTCCATGTTGTTAAAATCAATCACAGGGCAAGGGGCAAAATCAGCAGCCATGGAAGAAACCCAAACTACTCGGACCGTGTGGCGAGGCGCCGTTTCGGCTGTTTGTCGTAGAATTGGGGTCAAGAAACGGACAAAGAGAAAGTGGCCAAGAACATTAGTGCCGAGCTGCAGCTCATAACCTTGAACAGTTTTTGAGCCCTCTGGTGGATGCATGACGCCCGCGTTGTTCCATAAGACGTCGAGACGAGACTCTTTAGAAAGAAACTCCTCCGCAGATGCTTTGATCGTCGACAGGTCGTCTAGTTGAAGGCTAAGGAACGACAATTGGCCTCTGGAGCCAGGATGGGAGCTCTTGATGTCATCTATAGCCTCCATGGTCCGAGACTCAGACCGTGCTGCGAGCCAAACCTTGGCATTGTGCTGGTATAAAATCTTCGCGAGTTCTTTACCAACACCACTGGAGGCGCCGGTAACGATGAAGACCTATAGGGAGTCAAATCTCATTTCATTCTGTGTGATAGGATAAGGAACATTTGTGAGCTCAAACTTACCTTTCCTGTCTGATCAGGGAGATTGTCTTCTGTAAGCTTCGCCTTGTCTGGCGCAACAGTGCTTGTCCGAAGCTTCACCATAGTTACAGAAACGGAGAATTAGAGAAAGAGGTAAATGCTTGGATTTGAAGTGCGAATTGGCTGTTGAGTTCTTGATGCCAAAAATCAGAGTACTCGAGAGATAGCGAGAGGTTATTTTATACTCCCAATATTTACGGATATAATAAATCCGCATAGAAAGACGACAAGTGGCTGTGAACCAGATGGTTCGTGCTCCGCGGAGCAGGCCAAAACCGCGGAACGGGTCAGATCTCCGTCTGACAGAACCGGCTCTCCGGGACACACAAGCAAGGCTTGGCCCTACGCAGCCCTGCCCGGCAATTTCAGGATTACATTTATATCTAGTGCGTTTGCTGTAGACTGGCTTTTAGAGTGGAAATAAAAGTCACGGCCTTTTGATGATTTTTGGATTGGAGTAGTCATCCCATCCTATTCGGATACCTAGCATCATGGGCCAACCCATTGCCTCACTCTTTGCTATTAGGATTAAGTTTTGGCCTGCGCAATTTAATTTACAGTAGATGTCTGACCTACAAACTATGGCAAATTTCTTCCAGATTTACTGGGGGGCATGTCTCATACCAACTTGATGGAAGACTCAGTAGATATTCTTGCTAATATACACCTTCAAATACTCTCAAGTCAGTTTCCCCAATGAATTCGTCCCATAGTTCCAGAATATTAAGTTCATCCTGTTGCTCGTTAGTTCCAGCAGAAAGTTGATTACCAATTTCAGCGGAGTTTTCTGCGATCGCAACGCGCCGTATTACATCCCCAATCTCCAGCTCAATATCTTGAGAGTCAGTAGAAGTGTGATCGAATCCGATCAAGGCATCCAAAAGCCTCGCACCCCTGCGGGCGATTGAACTTCGTGGCTCTAGCTCTCTGATAAATGCACGGCCAATGTTGACACATTCTCGTAAATCCTGGTAGTCGTACGTGAGGGGGTGCTTGAACCGAAACATCAATGCATATAAAATAGTAATGCAGCAAGTGATTATCTGTGTCGGGGTGGTCCACATTCTCTTCGCGATCTCAAATTCAAGGGAGTTTTCCCATTGTTCAATCATTCGGATGCTCCTCTCTGCCAATGACATGCAGGATAGCTATCGAAGCTCACCTAATATTAGTACAATCACCATGTAAACGGAATGTCAAGGGGGGGAAAGGAAACCCTACTTGCGTATACGCAAAACGAGTGTCGCGGAAGCTGCGTAACTGAAAGTGACGGTGTACGGTGAATATCTAGGATGGGCGAGTTAGGACCCAGATCACATTCGGCCTTGTATTTGTCTATTACCTTGTGTGCCGTGGAGAGAAGAGCGATGCAGGCTAGATGCCTCAAAGGGGTTGTAGGCGCATCTTCATGCGCTTTGTGACCCGAAAGAGAAGAGGAGTACTGAAGGAAAGAAGCGCAGCTGGAGTATATCTTCTTTAGTTCCTGATCAGCCCAGGTAGTCTGATCATAGAGTTTCATCAGACCGTCCTCGAGGTCTCCCGGAAACCCCGCTTGACATAAGCGATCTTGGTGCTTCCATATGATTACGGCAACTGGATAACAATTAACCTTGATGGTTTCCAATTAAAGGCTACCACGCACCTTGGTTGAGCACATGTGTAAAGCTAGTTTGTGTGAATACGTTCTCCGGTTGCGCAACTACCCTGCCATCGCTAATCATCTCATCTGCATTCTCAAAACAGTTGACAGGCATGGGGGTGTTAAATTGGGTGAAATGAATCAAACACGTGTTCTGAAAAGGTATTTGAAGCCAGTCTTGGCGAACCAAGAACCACCAAACACGCTTCTTCACCTCGCGTTCGATAAGAGATGAGACAACACTAGACATGCCAATAGTGGAAGGGGCATTCATTTTGGGATCAAGACCTAGCCTGTTTATGTTCAAGCATTGCGCGATACGGATGGCGGCAGCCAAAAGAACGCAAATCGTATCTGACTGATCGTAATGATGTGCTACCTGAAGAAGGACGCAGATGGCCTGAACAGAGGCAAGGCTATGCTTGGATATGAAGTTCGAGAGGTAAAGATAGTCGATACTCTTGTCGTACAGTCCTTGAACCGTGTTTACTTGAGCTTTTAATGTTGGATTCAGTGGTCATGCAAAAAAAAAAAAAAGGGAGAAACGCTGATGACTGGGCCACCTACTGACAATACCTAGACCTAGGGTTTTCATGTAGGAATCCGGAATATGGTAGATAGTTGACTGTTATTCATGGTTAGACAAGATGATCAAATAGTAGGATAACGGGGCACGAGCACTCGCTGTCAGAATTGCATAGTATAGAGCGAGCCAGGGCTGTTCACCAAGCCCCGAAGCAGCATTGATATCGAATTGCTCAATGAAGCTAGGCATATGAACGACATTATGCATCCAGGCAATGTGTTTCTCGTGCATGTTAAGTAATGCACGAGCTTCTTCAAGGGGAAATATTGGGTCCCATTCCACAAGGGGGTGATATCTTGCTCCGATCATCTCCTGAATGTCCTGGTCTCGTGATCCGGAGCACGATCGGGAGTCTTCTAGGCCACCTAAGTGATTTAGTGTCCCGCGGCGACCATAAGCAAGAAACTCGAGGCTGGCTGCTTTGTCGTTCGTGAGCCTCGAGCTGGGCAGAGCAGCCACGCTCAAACCCTTTTCATCTATCTGCCCAGAATCATGCAAAGTGGCAACGCTGTCAGAGTAGGCGAGTGCCGATTGTGTAGTGCCAGTTGAATTCTCAATAATATTAACTCGAATTCTCCTGCTGTCGGGTCTCTCGGCGTCCGCAGACTCAGATCTGCCGGTGAATGTCTCGGTAGCTTGATCATCAACAGACGCCGTTTCCACCACGGGCATATACTTGGTCATGACACGGACAGGTTCACGATGGCAGTGCTCCTCCATTCGCTTGCGAACACAAGCTGTACAGGGAACTGTTTTCGAGCAGCGAATCTTCCGACGCGCGCATTCTGTGCATGTCTTAACCGCGCGCTGACTCTGCCTTGTGAGCGGCATATCGATTTATCACCTTCAATCAAACGTTATTATGCCGCCTTTACATGTCGGAACCTCGTCTGTAAGTAGATTTTTATCTCCAATAACTCTCGAAGACCAGGACTAGGGTAGCTGCCACTCACTTGGATAGAGCTCAGACACTTAAAGTGACAGCCGCTGCTTGATTCAAAATGTGGGACAAACAATTTGAGCATTGACTTCGCCTGCGGAGACTTTAGGAATGGGAAAAGTGGGTTAATCATTAAGTTCTGGCTCGGTTGTGCGTTGATTAGAACTGTGGGCTAAACTGGCTTACAATGCCGGGGGTTTTCTTTATCCTCTATGGTCCGGACATAGGCAGATACCAATCATGCTTTCTTCTCTGTCAATTTGTGTTTCCTTTAGTGAGATACCAATGACCAAGGGCAATTTGTTCCTACAGCATGTCGCTCAGCCCGTCAGCTCTTCGATTCAGGAGTTATTATAAATTAGGTACCGAAGGAGCACAGGGTTCAACCTCCCATTGCCGGCATTAGACAGTAATCAATCCAATTCTTCCTAGCTAGTGCTTACTTCTGCTGCCATGACGCAAGCAAAAGACAAGGACCATACATACAAATACACGGGGACATCCGTCCGGCGTTAAGCATCCTCTACCGCTTCCTCCGTGCCCTTAAATACATAAGAGGCTAAAGGGATTCACGCCACGGAGTTCATCACACCGACTTCTCGCCCCCTCCGAACAACCACCCTGCCTCGTTTGCCACCGGCAAACAGTTCTCGACATCATGATACCGAAGAACATCCCTCTCCTCTACCACATTGTTTTCCTAGGATGGGAACCGCTGTCCGCTATCGGCGGCGGCCTGCAGCTACTCACCAATCCCGCGGATTTCGTCCACAACTTCGTCCCCCGAACTCTCACGACTCTTGACCCCTTACAAAATATCCTGACCAACGAGCTCGGAGCAGCATATATCTCCGTTGGCGCCATACAGGGACTCCTACTGACCAATACCGAGGATCTTCGCATCTGGCGGCTTCTCAATATTTCCCTCCTTGTTGGGTGGGATGCAGTCTTGATGTATTCATACTGGCGCTCGCTCAGCGTGCAGAACAGACTGGATTGGACGACATGGCGGCCTTCGGACTGGGCCGCAATTCTCATTACGGGATTCGTTGGAGCGACTCGCCTTGCGTTTGCAGCAGGGGTTGGATTGACACGTGCGAAGGCGCATGCGAAGCGCAGCAGCAAAGCCGACTAACAACTCGTGCTTCTTATGAAACAAATCATACGAAAGAGGCTATGTATGCCCGAATTCAGTTTAAGGACAATTACTGAGAGAAGGCATTGCTGTTAATGCCGAAAGGCACATATCAGCTCAAGATGATGCGATCGGAGTTCGCGCTGCTTAGGGGCCTAGACAGAACCAAACTCTACACAACGTTCTCCTTCTATCTGTAGAAAGATAGTTGGTAAGATAGTTGGAAATCCAAATGAGAAATGACTTCGTTTATTCTAGTCCATCTAAATTTGACACAATGGAGCAATATCATTCTCAATGGCAGCCTTCGGATGGGCATGTAGAATCCCTAGACGGAAAGCGATGCCTAACCTTTACAGTTCTCCTTCATAAAGATCAAATCTCCACCTCAAAACTAACGAACTACAATGCCGGGATCTAACTTGGTCGGGGCTTAGGCTCTCAGCTCCCTTTCAGGAAGTATTTCATTGGCATCACAAGGTGGAACCTACTCAAACCAGCGTCAAAACTCCAGCGCCAAGCCTCATGCCGATGGGGCCAAGTAGCCCAATCCTATTCCAAAGTCGGACTTCGTTTCGTCAAAATACGAGTCACGAATCAAAGTCTGAAGAAAGCCTGTCAGTAGTTTCACATCCCGTATCATTCAACTAGGCAACTCGGGTAAATCTCACCTATAGTGCGTGCATGACTTCCGACGAGAAACTGGGGGAATGAAGAGTATATAATTGCCTGTCCTTTCCTACCTACAAAATGTCTTCCTTGCCAATCTTACTTCTCCCGCCATCCACCACGTCCAAGATGCAGTTTCTCTCGATCATCTCCGTTGCCTCTCTTGCGGTCGGTTGTGCCGCATGGGCTAGCGACGGGCACGGAACGTGGGTTGCCAACAACAAATGGTATGACTGGGCGCCACCTCTGGGAATCAAACAGAGTATGTGGAAGCAACCTTTTTCAACTCCCTGTGCCTCTGGAACTAAGACAATTACAACTTATAGAGTGGGTTCAAGAGGCATGCACTATTGTGAACAGGAATTATGTCGTTTATTCCAATGGCGAGTCATGTGCGTATTGGACCAATGGCCAGGGTGGCATGTTCCAAGGGAGTAGGTGTATCTTTTCAAGTAACCTCTTTATCTTTCGGCGTACTTACAAAATTGATAGCCTGTCGAAGTCGAGGCGTAGGTTCCGAAGGTTCCCCGTCAATCTCAGTTGGTTGCTGGTAAGCCGTGTCGGAAATAACAATTTACCTTTCACGTGAACCGAATTACATTGGGGTTTGATTTCTTGTTTGAACAAGGTTTATCTGCCAATTACAATGTTGATAGTTGGTAGAGTGATTCAATGGTCTAATAGTTATTGCTCGTAGGCATATGTAATGGATAAATGATATCATTGACCCATCTGACAACCCGCGGCACACTTTTTGATTTCATTAGTCACCATATCTCATGCCTTACCAGCAATTATTGCTGCTGCCTGCTCTGTCAGCCCATAAAGGGGTGCTTGAATATGAGCACTTAGTGGCACGGGAATTACCGAAGCATCAACCACTCTCAAACCCTTTACACCATAAACTCTAAAGTCAGTATCCACAACCTTGCCCATGGAGCAAGTTCCAGAATAATGCCAGGTCGTCGAAGCAGCTAGAGTCACCCTATTATCCAGCTTCTCGTCACTATCATTGAGCGTAACAGGCTCGACGGCCAACGCATCGGGTACCGTCTCGCCCGCAATATATTGGCTGAAAATAGGGCCGAGCATAAATGAGGCAATTTTTCGAATACCCTCGCGCATTTGGTACTTGTCTACCTCAGTGGAAAGATAGTTCATATTGACTATATGCCTTGCTGTTAAATTTTGAACTACAGTATCGCCAAAATATGGCCACAGGGGGCACTTACTCTTTGGGGGATCTTCAATATTCGCTGACTTTAAGGAAACCGTACCCCTAGAAGTGGGCAAGAAGTTTATGACAGCTGTAGTCATGTGCTCACAATCCATTGGAATACCAGGCAGTGGGACTTTGGCGTGGAGGATCAAGCTCTCGTTGAAAGTACGGGCCCTCGAGAGCAGCGGGTGCTTGGATGGATTCGGCTTGACCCCCTCATCCTTTTCAATGGCGATAGCAAGGCCCTGCTCTGGTAGGGAATGGGTCACGACCCATTCCATAGGAGTTCCCTTAGTGTACTGAGGCTCAGAAAATAACGGGTTTGGGGAGCCAAGGGTATAACCCGCGGAGGGGTCCCGGAGCCGCCAGTGCTGCCAGAAGTTCAAGTGGTCAGTTAGCCCCTTGCCAACTTCGGGGAGGTCAACCACTGGATCGATTCCGACTTCTTTGAGATCTGAAGGTGAGCCAATACCGGAGAGCTGGAGCAGCTGTGGGGACCTCAAAGCTCCGGCACACAGAATAACTTCTTTGCCTGACAAGATACTGCCGTCACTCAATTCGACACCCGTAGCACGAGGGTGTCCGCTGCTGTTTTCCATCACGACTCTTTGGACCAAGGCTTCAAGCCGAACTTCAACACCATCGAGAGGGTAGACTACCGGTGACCATTGTCGCTGACCATCCAGTCTTGACTCGCAAATGTAAGCCCGTCCTAGGTTGTCTCCTGCGTTTTGGTCAAGGTCCGGGAGAACAGGAACTCCAAGTGCATCCCAAGCTTCTGCAATCTTTTCGGTCAAGGGGAATAGGCGCTTGTTCGACCCAGAAGAGCCAACCGTTATACGTCCATCTAGGCCATGCTGCTCGGGATTCTTTTCATCAAACCAGCGCTCACACTTCTTGAACCAAGGTAGCTGCCCGGCATAATTATAGCGTTCATCCTTGACCAAAGCCGCCCACTCGTCGAAGTCATTCGCAGATCCGCGAGTCCAGCCGCCTTGGAGAATCAGTACTCTTCGCTTTGTGCCACAAGCTAAATTTTGGTTCTAGGATCTCACAATGCTGTGCTTACTTGAATTGACTGCTGTGCCGCCGCCGAGCCCTTTGCCCGAATTTAGGGTGAAAGTGCGGTTCGCGGCATTCGGGGCTGGCTCAGTTTCGTACGACCAGTCCAAGTCGCCCCCAAGATTGAGAACCTGGGGGTGCCTGACATCTGAACGCTCGCGGGTATCTTTGCCAGCTTCAAGCAAGACGATTTTTAACGTTGTCTTGTACTCTCGTAGTCGGTTAGCGAGGACACATCCGGAGAGGCCGCCTCCCACGATAATATAATCATATGAATCGAAGCTCATTGTAGAGGTGGTATTTTTGAATCTTTCGAAGTTTCAATGTGCAAGTTCACGCTAGGTACGCCGTGAGTCTATATGAGGCAGACAGGATATTTATCACAGGCGGGGGGCTTAGGGACTTTTGTTTCAAAGTCTCGTTTGCATTATGCAGTCATCCAAGTAAGAACAAACGAATTCAGAGCTAATGTGCGAGCAAACTTCCCATTTGGGTACCTATTTTCATACCAATTTAGCTCGACAGGAAATCCCATATTGAAACTGGCGCCAGCTGCCTCTTCTACATGAAATGATAGGGTTCAATTCCCAACCGCCAAAGAATTACAATTGTAATTTTTCGTTTATTATCTATAACTGCCATTGTCATTGCGGTATCCCGCACCAAAAAGTCGAACCGCACAGCCACATGTTGAGCTGATACCTCTAAACTTGTTATACGCCGTGTTGCGGGGCTTCATCATCACTAACCTATGCACGTAAGATTTTAACCCTGACAGGCTTTGCATCACCCCAGTTTCATTCTTCTGTCTGCCATGGCAGTTTGTGCGGTCAAGGGGCGGTCAAGTTCCAAGTCAGGCGAGGATTATCCCTCAGCAGCGCATCAGAGGAAGGAGTTCTCCTGTCCTACAATAAAAGAAATCAAGGTTGAGTTCACTAGATTTCTTCCTCAAGTATTGCTCGCAATTTCTAGGTGTTGGAAGTAGAGCTTGTCAACTAGGTTATCTTTCATCTCCAAAGTAGGTAGAAAGACTATTCAACATTTTCATTTCTCTGTCTCATTTCCACAAAAAGTTAACTCTGTGAAGTACCAGTTTAATAAACCAAGGTACTATGCATACTGTCGGAGGAGCGAGCCATAGTATGTATAGGCAGCACCAGAGGGCGGTTCATAACTGAACATGTAATCTCCCCACCATGGCCCAGCAGCCCACCAGAGGGCACCTGACCAAACGTCGCTGTTCTCACTGAGGTGCTTCAGTAGTCCAGTAACAGCCTCTTTGCAGACACTGTTACTAGCACCGGCAAATTCTCCCAAGACACCGATCTTGCCGTTGTTGCGCAACCACGTGGTGGCATCCTTGACACTCTCAACCCCAATGGTGGTGCTGACACATTCAGGGTGCGTACCCGACTTGTCGCTATCTAGATACTGGTGCATTTCATAGACCAGTTTGTTCTGTGGATCTGTGAGGGCCTTAAGGTTGTCATTGGTGCTGGTCCAACTCCAAGCACCAGACCAGGCGTTGCCTTCGACGAAAATATACTGACTGGTTGCGCCGACACCTCGAATGGCATTGATAGCGGCCTGGTTAAGGTTTAGAACGAGTGTCTGGTCCATGTCATGATACTCATTGTTGGTGTCAAAGATGACAAGAGAGTTGCTCTTAAACGGAGTAGCCAGGTTCTTCCAAAACGTGCCGAAACCTGTCACGTCAGTGATGACATTGCCTTTATACCGTCCAAAGTTGTGGGGGTCCAGCACTGCATAGGCACCCTTCGATGTGATATGGTTGATGGTTTCAGTCAGGTTAGCCAAGTAGGCTGCGGCGAAAGTTTCGGTCATGGAGTTGACCGCGAGACGTTCCATTGAGAAGCCGACGCGGAAAATGTTCATGCCTTCGCCAATAAGGGTCTGTTGCCAGATCGATCAATATCCTCTCTAAACCTTCGTTCAAAAGTAGCCATAGCAAGGGCGGGGCTTTGACTCACATCAATGGTAGACAGCTCAGGGAACCTAAAGTGAACGCCCCAGGTGCCGGGGTAGTTCCCCTGGCCAAACTCTGCGACACTTTCACCAACACCGAACCATTTGAAGCCAGTCGGCTGACTACCGGTAGTGGATGTTTTGCTACTTGTGGAAGTGGCGGTGGAAGTCGCCAGGGTGGTCTTGGTGGTAGTACTGCTGGCAGCGCCGCCGGGGAGGCACTGGCTGTACCACTGGTTGCTGTATGTGCAAGTCCAGCCAGACTCACACGTCGTAGGGCCAGTCCATCCTTGTCCCCCGCATTGCCCATATGCAGGAGCAACACTCTGGGCAAGGGCAGTGCTTGCGAGGGTAACAAGCAGAGAAAGAGACTTCATTGTGAACCTCGAGAGGATACTTTGATAAGCTTCCAAGAGACAATGTGAAACTCCAGCTTCAGATTTTGCTGATCTTTTCCAGCTTGGTCGGAGATCACTGGTATTTATCTAGAAGGGGATCCCAGCAACTCTCTTATTGCCTTGTTGTAATTAGATCATTTGTGGCATGCGATTCTATCGGTCGAGCGTGATCAATTCATACCAGGGTTGTACTTGCAAGGATATAAACCCACCTTTCATCCCGAAACGTGACTATGGAACGCCCTGCGCCGGGTCCTGTTTCAATTTGTGCTCATTATCGGAGAAAGAATGCCGGGGACCCGCCGGTCTCCAATAACACCTCTTGAATATCATGAACTCTGTTGGGCTAGCCTTCTCTCGGAAGCGGACTTGTAGACTCCGAAATACAGGATATCCCGTCGATTGAATTTTAGCCAGAATCACGTTGGACATAATAAACTACCGTTTCTCAGCAATAGAAGACAGCAAGTATGTGAGCAATATTTTAATTAAAATCAATTAAATGAGGCCACGTCACATAAATCAGCTCAGTACACAATGCTTGTTGCTAAACCTTTTAGTCTAAGATAAAGCAGCCACGGTCAGTGAGAGGCAGATAAACAAAGGGAAGAGGCTTGGTAGTCATGTTGAGCTATTCTCATGTTCTTGTGACCAAGTTCGACGTTGGAAATAAAAGAATTCACATCAAGTTCACTAATGCGGGCCGTTGGAATATGATTACAGTATGTCGTTCAACAACCCATCTCTATTATTAAGTTCAACACCAAAGACGACTTACTAGAGGGGGAAAACCCCAGATCTCGCTCTAATCCAAAAAGCTTCAGACGGTCCTCGTTGCCGAATTCTCTAATCGGAATTATCAAACCCCGTTAGCGACAAAGAGCAAATTTCCCCTCAAAATATATCATACGACTAGACTACCGCAATACGGCAAGTCAGCTTCTGCAAATGACACTATTTTACGGAATTATATAATTCCTCCTCTCTGGAACTAATCACTAGCACATGCATGACGGGTCTACGCCCCGGTTGCCGGCTCTGTCAAGAGATAGTTAGCCAACAGAGCTTTCTTACCCGTTAACTGCTTCGGTGCTACAATTACGGATTCCCAGACGTAGAAGTGAACAGTCACTTCCAGATCATTGCTTTCGTGCAGTGTTTCCATCTGGCGGTCATCGCCTATTCATTATTGAATGCCTTGTATACGCTAATCATGTCTTAAAAATCACTCGCGTAGGTTAAAGAAAGTCCTCGGCGTTGAGAACATCTGGGACCCAAGCACAAGCTCAAGTATAGCTATACCAACCAGACTATCTCTTCGTTTGTTCCTCGAAAAAGCTTATCAACACCTTTGCCAAAAGAATCCACCCATCCCAACACGTTCAAAGCAGCTATCAAAGCCTGGTATTTCGACACCCCGCAGAAAATAACACGAAATGAAGGGGGAAGACCCAAAGCATTGCCATCACTTCGGGTAACTACAAAAGCTTCGAGTGTCGAATTAGTCGCAGAAATATCGGTCTGATACTCTGCATGCTCGAGGGATGTCCATCCCAACATAACGCTAGGCTCAGCCGATATCGTAACCCTCCGCCACATGTGACGTCCAAGATCAGGGGAATTTTGCGTTAACTCAGCCACAATATTGACATTTTCAGACTCATTGAACCCCTGATCAACATGGGTACTTACGAGTCTTCCTTTCATCCGGAGCATTGTAAACCGATGCCTTGCGTGATATTCGCTATCGGGGGGAATGACACTGGCGTGTTCGTACACAGGTTTGAATGTCCTATAATCCCTTCGAGGACATCAATAGTTGGGACAGTGCGCGCCCTACAAAGCTGCAAACACATGCCGGCAACTCGTCATCTTGCGGTAGCGTGGTCCATTGCACGGCATCCCAATTATGATAGTTTCTTCCCCGTCACTTGTTATCCTAACCGCTATCGAAGCCCATGGCCAACTTGGTATACCACTAATTCTCACACACTCGCCGGCAGGGACTTTCTCCCACAATAAAACACCTCCATTGACCAAAGCAAAGCCCAAAGACGTATCGATGTTTAGCAGGTTCAGCTCAATTTTCTGGACGTTCTTTCTCTTCTTCTCTTTCCATAGCAAGGCCTAATTCCTTTGCCACGCCTGCTAAAGCAATCAATCGATCTTCTCCCAGGATTTTGAGTTCCAGCCCTGAATAAACCTCAACAACCGCAAACCATGACTCGAGAATTGTAGATGAGCTCAAAGTATCAATTCCTCGTATCGAAATGCCAGTAGAGCCATATTGTGCCGTGCCATTTACCGAGTCACCAAGAAGACCTCTGGGAGACTCTGTCTGGCATTGGACAAACAGCACTGTCCTCGAAAATGACAAAATTCGACGGCTAAGCAGCCACTCCTGGCATACCCAACCTCGGCTCAGCAGCGAACTCTGACTAACATTAGTTATATAGTCCATGGAAAGATATACACTGGACATGGAAGTATCCATGCTGAACTCCATCTTCATCTCTGTAAGGTAGCCGCGTTATCCGCGGGATACTTTCGCTGGGAATATCCCCGAAAAGCCCACCATCCACTGACAGAGATCGCTGAGATGTGAGCCACGGGTTCTGATAGTAATCCGCCATTTTTGCAGACTCTTTCTCCCAGTCTTCATTATCGTTCTGGACAATGGTGCAAAGTGTATCAATCCATATATACCCGAGTCTGGCACTGAGCTGACCGGTATCTCTGAAAAGGGGCATCAGCTCCATGGGATTGCCTTGGCATTGTTGGCAAGACACATCGCATAGACCCATACGACAGTCTAGATTCCAGGTCAGGGTTTTGTGTTTTTCTGTTTCTTCCGTCCAACGATGGCTCGGCGTCATATACTTCCCCAGACCAAAGGTTTCTTGCAGAACGAAGGTATAAGGCGGCGCATCTGGGTGCTGTTGTAGATCGTTGGTCACAACCTCAACGCAACGAGACGGAAATGGAACATTTTCAGGGTCGATGGAGTTTGTCTTCGACAAGGTTTTGGTGCATTCTTCACGACCTTCAATGCAATGTTTTTGCCATGACTTAATGATGTCGAGATGTGTTGATGTTGAGTGGTGCGACTCGACGTAGAGACTGCCAGCAATATCCCCTGAATCTTTGGCTTTCGTTCCTGAGGAGAATGCATCAGAAGACTAATACTACAATTTTGATTACACAGACCTACCTGGGTCAGCAGGTTTGTGGAGGCATATACTATAGGTGATGGCGTCTCCTTTCAGGATTTCGGGGAGGACGGGAGTGAGATGAAGACTTGCAAAAAGGACATCCCGAGACTAGACGCGTCATGGTAAGACACACTCAATTACTACATGTACGCAAGATTCAGTAATTAGTTCAGTGTGATCTTGGTCAAAATGCCAGTCCGTAATTAGGAGGACTAACATGTCTTCAATCTGTCTTACTCAATATTGCTGAACAGGTTTCCTATTTTTTATCAAGCTTATGACCAGGTGCCCTCCGATAGTTAGGTTGGCTAGATTCAGCACTACCTAACTAAAAGTCGTCGAGAATATTCTCCCTGTGGATAGCCCAAGCCTCTATAACGTATTTCTACCTTTTTCCGGACGTTAGCAAGATCCTTTAGGTTCAAAGGGATTGGATTCCTCTTTCATAATGATCATACTACCATCTTTCGGTGCTTTAACTTTCCCACTTCATGTCTAAATTATATGTTAATGACAACTACAGGTGGAAAGAAGAAAACATGGTGATCTTGATATACTATTTATGGTTCTTAAATTCTTATATTGGGATACTTAATGGTCGGAGCCTCGGCACTTTCCTGACAAATGCTTTTGGTAGCCACAGGGCCCCATGCGTGGTTCACCTTCTATATTATGTCACAGCTCCGTTGTGAAAATAGCAAACGATCAATGGGGCTATAGAAAACCGCTTATGCTTATAAAGTATCTGACTCAGACGATGAATTTTCTAGAATATACATTAATTATAACCATTGAACAGGTTGGTCAATTTATGTTGCATATATATATTCGTATTGTGAGAGGTAGTGGTGAAGTTCCCACAGTATGGTCTCACCTCAGTTCCAATCATTGCTCTCTAAGAATTCAGCATGTCAACAATATTCCTGTCCGTATTACTACTCAACTGAACTCAGTCGTACGCTAATGTCATATTTCTGCCATAGTACCGGAGCCTCTGGGTATATCGGCGGTGATCTGCTCGACCAATTGACAAAATCCCACCCAGAACTCGCCTTGAGGGTGCTGATTCGAGACCTTAACCAGGTTGACACCATTAGGCATCTATATCATGACATAACCATTGTTCAAGGTACCCTCGATGATACCGAGCTTATCACCAAAGAGGCAAATAATGCCGATATAGTACTCAGTGCGTCAGACTCTCTAAGAGAACAGAAGAATATCTCCTTCCACGCACAAATGATCTAATATTTCACTTTACCTACCACAGATCTTGCCGCGTATAACCATCTTGGCAGTGCACAGGCAATCCATCACGCCCTAGTAGAAAGGCACAGGAATGGGAAGCCTGCGTACTGGATTCAGGTATCAGGTGCTAGCGCGCTTGCTGCAGCCGAACTCGAAGATCCATCCAGAATCCCTGGCTCAGCTGGTGATACTGTCTGGGATGACTACGAAGGGATTGATGCTCTACGTTCCCACATTGAAAAGCATCCGCAGCGTCGCGTTGTTGACAATTATCTGCTGTCCGTAGCACGAGACTCACCGCAAGTGAAAACTGCGATAGTTTACCCTCCTTTAGTCTACGGTCGTGGCAGAGGGCCAATCAACCAGCGAAGCATCCAGCTTCCCGAGCTAGCCAAGCTGACGCTGGAAAGAGGCCGCGGAGTACAAATTGGCTCGGGTTTAAATCGGTGGGGGGCTACACACATAGGAGATATCAGCCAGCTCATCGTGCGGCTGGTCGAAATGGCTGTTGCTCGTGTGGATGATGGCCGGCTCTGGGGTAGCCACGGGCTCTACCTGGCTGGCGTGACAGAATTAGTAAGTCGCCCAGCTCGGACATACGCAGGACTCCTTGCTGATTGGCATCAGACGTTCCAAGAGCTCTCCCAGCGTGTTGTAGCAGCGGCATCTGCCCTCGGACTTGTTCGGAACTCGACGATTGACGAAATCACAGCAGAGGAAGCGGATGATTTGCTTCCTTGGGGAGGCACGCTGTTTGGGACCAATGCTAGAGGTGCAGGGCGCAGGGCGCGGGAACTGCTAGGCTGGAAGCCTGCCAGAGGGGTTATGGAGGAAGAGATTATCCATACGGTGGGCCTTGAAGCTCGGCAGTTGGGCTTGACTCGAGGCTAGTGCTTTCATGCCATCGTTAAGATGGAAACCTTCTTTTGATGATTGGAATCCTGGTGAGAGGCACAAGAGGGGACGGATCTGGGATTAACTTTTTGCCGAGGCGCGGTGCTCGCAAAATCGCCGATCACACGCGGCACAAGGTAGCTGCGAAGACCTACACCAGAGCTCAGTATCGAAATACGAGTTTGTGTGCGTCTTTTACGGACGTCACGTGCGAGCCGTACTTCTTGAAATTGTGCGATTTTGTATCTCTAGACCCGCTGAATCAAGATTGACAGCAAGTGATTGGTCCAGATCAAATCAGGGCGGATATAGTGGAGATTCCAAGTTTTAGCGGCCAGAGAGCTGAAACTTAGCGATCGGAGGCTGCCGAGGGATTGTGGCCTCTCCAAGAATTACCGAGCGCACTCGAATAAATGGCGCAGGATCAATCAAATCGAGAGAGCGATGAGGGGAGAACGAGAGGAGATGGCCAGGCGCATACTTGTACGCGGTGTGGGGCTAAAGAAAAGCACAACCGAGCCGGCCCAGCTAGAAGGGGGATCGTCCGCTCACAGTTTCATATTACATACACAAGCCTGCTGTCCTTACTTTTGGTGCGTCGGAGGCCTCACACTCCTTCCACCATCCATCACCTCTGTGCATTGCGAGTGACTGAGAGGCCTCCTCCACACACAACGACAATGGCCCAAGAGGCCTCCCTCGCTCTATCCCATTGCTGCTAAACTTTGACCCTTGAGCGCGTCTCGTGTCATCACTGGCCTGCCTCTCATAGGCCTGACGCTGTTCCTGCAGCTCGCACGCCCCTCCCTTCCTCCCTTCCCGCTCCCGGCCGAGTGCGACATCGTCGTTTCCGGCCGGCGACTGGTCCATCTGATTGTCTCAGCGTCTCAGTAGAGAGGACCGGTCGGATCGGACGGGCATTCCTATCAGGAGGCCCGATCCAACCAGCCAGCCAGCCGGACCATGGCTGCTGATCCTGAGATTGAGTTGCAAGTGAAGCCTGTGCCCACCGTCCATCACCACCCGGAGGCCGCTGGCGGCCCCTCGTCGCCCGAAGCTGCTAGTCGCATCTCCTTTCACTACACTGGCCCCGATAACGATGATGGTGATAAGTATGATCACCGTGCAACGTGCCACGATGGTCCTGCCCCTTACCGCTCCCGCTCGTCCCGCCGTAGATCACGCTCCCGAGACTCCACCGCGAGTGCTAGAAGCCGTCTGCAAGCTGCCTCCGTCTATGGCGAGATCCAGATAGAGTACCGCACCCTCTCCATCCAGGTCTCAGAGGCCAAGGCCGCCGCCGAGGACGATGACAGTGACAGCCTTTCCAAGGCCTTGCTGAGCGAGCCTAACCCTCGTCTGGACGAGTACTTCTTTCATCTGCCCTACCACGAACTCCAGGTCCATCAGCTCTGTAGCCAGCTCGCCGTCGATCACACGAATGGACTTACCGAAGAGGCTGCTGCCCTTCGCCTGGCATCTAATGGCAAGAACACGTTGCCCAGGCCCAAGACTAACTACACCAAGAAGATCCTCGGCTATGTCTTCGGCGGCTTCTGTTCCGTCCTCTGGATTGGTTCCCTCATCTTCTTCATCTGCTGGCGCCCTCTGAGCGACCCGCCATCTCCTCAGAATCTCGCCCTTGCTATCCTCATTCTGGTGGTCATTTTCCTTCAGGCTGGCTTCTCCGCCTTCCAGGACTGGTCCACCGAGAGAACTATGAACTCCATCTTAGAGCTTCTCCCTTCAGATACGATGGTGACACGAGAAGGTCAACTCAAGATTGTGCCCTCGTGTGACCTGGCCACTGGTGACATCGTACACCTCCGCATTGGCGACAAGGTGCCTGCTGACATTCGGATTCTTAACCATTCGGGGGACGTCAGGTTCGACCGCGCTGTGTTGACTGGGGAGGGCGAAGAAATTGAGGGTTCCATTGAACCAACCGACAGGAATTTCCTGGAGACACGCAATATTGCCTTCATGGGAACCGTCGTTGTCAATGGTAGCTGTGTTGGGATGGTTGTGCTTACAGGTGATCGCACCGTCATGGGTCGTATTGCTCGATCAACGTTCAGTATTAAGCAGCAGAGCACACTAATCCAGCGTGAGATCTGGCGGTTCGTCAGGATCATCGTTTGTCTCACGATTTGTCTCGCCCTAACTATTCTCTTCACCTGGGTAGGGTGGCTGCGAGTCGACCACCCCGAGTTCCTTGACGTCCCATCCATGCTTGTCAATGTCATGGCGTGCATTGTTGCCTTCATCCCTGAAGGGATGCCCGTCTCTGTCGCTCTTACAGTTCTCCTTATCGCACGCCGCATGAAGACCACCAACATTCTTCCTAAAGATCTGACCACCGTCGAGACACTGGGTTGCGTCAATGTCATCTGCTCTGATAAGAC